GCGCGAGCTGCTGTCATCCTAAGCGTCTCCTACTCTGGTCAGTCTCGCGGCCCTTGCTCTGGGAATGCCTGTCTTATTTATCTGCGTACTAATCACAGCAAGGGTGACTAAAGACTGACATGGGACCGAGGCAGTCAAGTGGCCTGGCCAGTGAATGCTTCTAGGCTTTCGACCTAGACCCACGTTTATTAATCAGTCTGCGAGCACATAGTAAGCACTCCCGGCATGCTGGCACCAGTGATGCAAGTACAAAGGCTAAAGACAGAGAGCCGACTTCCTGACGGGGGAAGCGACCAGGACCCAGGCCACACAGATGCAAAGTTTATAGGATAGACATATCCATGCAAAGTCATCAGACACAAGGCCTATGGGAGGGTCAGGGCAGAGCATGATGCCTGGGCTACATCTACTAAGAAGGCCAGGGTGAGGAGAGAGGGTGTTCCAGGTCTGCGGAGGCGTGAGGTGGAAGGTGGAGCTCCAGCACTCAGGAGAGTGTGGTTAGATCCCCGAGTAACTTCCGCTGGAGATGGAAAGGTGGGCTGGGGCCAGCTTGGAGCCTTTCTATGGAAGGCCTTGGAGCTGCTTAAGTGGAGGTGTCATGTGGCCACAGACATTCTCCAGGGAAGGGCTGTGGCAGCGGTGTGTGGGACAGCCTGGGGTGAGGAGAAAGTTGGGTAGGGCTTGTTGGAGTTATCTAGGCCAGAACTAGGCAAGATGGGAGCTGTGGGAGAGGAGAGAAGGAGTCGGATGGAGAGAGATTAGGAAGGTAGAAAAGGTAAGGTCCAATCCATGGGAGACGGGCATTGAGGAGCTGAACCTGGGGCACCGATTCAGGACGGTGGTGCCTTTGGCAGAAACGGGGAAGTCTGGAAGAGGAAAGAAAAGCCAGCTCAGTTTTAAATGTCATCATTGGGCATGACCACAGTTATGGGGCAGGCCACGAACGCTGAGCCTGCAAGGGGAAGCTGATCAGGAGAGCCAGAAGAGGAGAGAGGCTGCCCTGGGATGGGGTGGTCACCAGCAGGGTGGGGGCAGGGGAGGACTGAGAAAAGGCCCCTGGTTTTGGCGATTAGAAGTAGTCATCAATGACTTGGGAGAGACTGGCTTCTGCTGGGCCTTGACAAGGTCAGAAGATGGATTGCAAAGGGCTGACAAGTAAGTGGGAGGAGGGAGGAAGCAGTGACGGTGTAGACAGCTTTTTTCAAGGCATCTGAAAAAGGGGAGAGAGATACAATAGTTTGGTGATGGTGGCATCTTGGGAAGGTTCTTTAAGGGTGAAGAAAGGTCAGGAATATTTGGAGGTAATAGGGAAGGAATAGTAGATAAAGGATGGTTGAAGATTTGTGGGGGAGGGGGACATAAATGAAGATGCAGTATGCCAGAGAAATGGGAGGAAGTGGGAGGGTCAAGTGCCTAGACCAGGGTTGGCTCTGGCAAGGAGATCCACCTCTCTGTCAGAGACAAGGAGTGGGAGACGTCCAGGAGTCTTTAGATCTACCTCGGTATTGAAATTGCTTAGAGGCACCTAGATAGCATAGTATAGCAGCCTCAAGGCTATGGGTTCCCCACCCCAACATAGTAGGTAGAGTACTGGACAAAGAGCCAAGAAGACCCGAGTTCAAATTCTGCTTCGAATGCATGCCAAGCAAATCACTTAACCTCAGTGTCTTCATCTATAAAATGTAGATAATAGCAGCATCTAGTTCCTAGGTTGTTGGTCTGGAGTTTTTTTTTTAACATTAAAAAATGCTTGAATTAATATTTTATTTTTTTCTCCAATTACATGTAAAGACAGTTTTTACATTCGTTCAAAAAATTTTGAGCTTTAAATTTTTTCTCTCTTTCCCTCATTTCCCCCTCCCTAAGATATGAGTTATACACATGCCAATCATACAAAATGTATTTCCAAATTAGCCATGTTGTGAAAGAAGGCGCAGACCTAAAGGAAAAAAAAAAACCAAAAAATTTGAAAAATGAAAAGAGTCTGCTTGGATGTGCATTCGGACCCCATTGTTCTTTCTTCGAAAGCGGACAGCATCTTCCAGCAGGAGTCCTTTGGCATTTCCCGGGTTGTTGTACAGATCACGTGAGATATTACTGCTAAGGCACTTTACCAGCCTCAAAGCGTGGGGAGATGTGAGCTCTCACTGTGGGGGTGGCTGTGACTTGTTTCCATCACTGGGGTTGTTATCATTAATGTGCTCTGTCTTCCTCCTAGCTTTGGTGTGAGATGCCTGTTTTAACCGGTCGCCTTAGAGGTAATGGGACGTGCGATGACGCTCACCTTGTGACGTTTGCCTCTGGCGACTGTTTGTCTGCTCATTGCTACAGAGTGCCATGGGCCAAGGCTCGCCAGACCTATTTTTCCCGTGGAAAAAACAAGCAGTCTCTGGATGCCATTGAGAAAGCAGCGTTCCTGGTGACATTGGACGACACCGCGCAGGGCTATAACAAGAAGGACCCCGTCACCTCCATGGACACTTACGCCAAGTCTCTGCTCCATGGCAAATGTTATGACAGGTACAGTGCTGGCCTGCCCAGAGCTGCTGGTGACCCAAGCTTAGCCTCTGAGAAAGCTCCCTGGCCAATGAGAAAAGCCAGCGTCAGTTATCTCAATGAATCCGAGGCTGGCCTCACTTCAAACAAGCAACTTTGAGATACAGAAGGCTCCGCATTTTGTTTCAGAAAACGTTGACCCTGTTCAGGAGTTCAGGAGTGTCAGGGCAGGGAGCTCTTTCCACTGGGGCAGAGCACCCATCTGTGACTTAGGAGATCAGTCCTCGGGGGGGCTTCTTGAAGCATAGGGAGTAACATAAGGAGCTTCAGAGGTGATATTTGAACTCAGGTCTTCCTGATTCTAAACCTAGTACTTTATTAGGAATTTCATGCTGTCTCTTATATTAAAAGAAAAATAGTGAAGTTAGCATTAACAAAATGGATATTTTCTCCTCTTTCCCTATGCAGTAGACCACATGATTCTTACACAGGAAGTGAAACAGCTGAGCCTTGTGGCTATGGCCAGAGGAAAGATTCTAGGCCATAGGACTTCCTGTAGCATAACCAGAGTGGAGAGTCTACTGGACGTGGAGTTAGAAATGCCTGGGTTTCTCAAATCCAGCCTATGACTTTGGGCAAGTCACTTAATCTCTGTGCCTCAATTTCCCCATCTGTAAAATGAGCATGACCTGCCTCTCTTTCCCACCAGGTTTCTGGGTCTAATGAGATAATGTGTATAAATCACCCTTTGCGTGTAATAAGATACTGTGTTTAAGAGTCTTGTATATTTTTATCTCACTAAGGGCTGCACTGATTCTCCTCTAGCACATCAGAGTAATTAACAGCATTGTGAGTAAGATAAACCGAAAGCTGCTCCCCCTCCTGCCTTCCCTGCTGTTGCTCTCCCATCTACCCAAGCTCCAAGCCTGACAAGTCATTGCAAAGGTTGCTTTATTTGCCCTAGGTCACCCATTCACATATAATCCAGATGCAAAATACTCTTGCCCCTCCCCATCTAATACATTCCTTGTGGGAGCATTCAGCCCAGAAGCACCTACTATGTGCCAGGCACTGGGCAAGATGCTGGAAATGCACACACTCCACAAAGCCGGGCGTTTGAGAGAAGGCAGCTCTGGAAGGCTGCTAAAGCAAACCCAATGAGAGAGAGCTATGGAGTTTCTCCCTCCCCTGGCACAGCCGCAGGGGCTCTTAAGGGTCTCACCCAGCACCCTGAAGGCTGCATACTCAGGCAGTGATAACAGCTGATGACTAATCTACTGACAAGCATTTATTAAGAGCCTACTGTGTGCTGGGTACTGTGCTGGGGTTGGGGTACTAATGCACAAATGGAACCATTCCTGCCCTCAAGGAGCTTCCATTCTGTCTGCAACTCTTGTTTGTTTGTTTTTGCTAAGCAATGGGGTTAAGTGACTTGCCCAGGGTCACACAGCTAGTAAGTATCAAGTGTCTGAGGCCGGCTTTGAACTCGGGTCCTCCTGACTCCAGGGCCGGTGCTCTATCTACTTTGCCACCTAGCTGCCTTGTGTCTGCAACTCTTATGTAACCAAGTACATACCAAGCAGATACAAAGTAATCTTGGAAGGGGAGCCGTCAACCACCCACCCTTTAGGAAGGTCCTTTGGCAGCTAAGGGTGGGGGATGGATTGGAGAGGAGACAGAGCCTGGGGCAGGGGACCATCCAGAAGGTGATTGCTATAGTCAGGGGAGAGCTGGTGTGCAGAACTGGGGAGGTGGTGACTTCAGGGGAGAGGAGGGGCCCTGCCACGATTTGGCATGTTGTTGGCCATGTGAGGTGAGAGTAATGGAGTGAGGAAGGGAGGGCGATGCTGAAACTCAAGTGACCAGAAGGGTGGGGGCACCTGCCACAGAAATAGCACCGTTAGGAAGAGGGCTCGATTTGGGGGGAGATAAGGATTGAGTCTGGTTTTGTCAAAGGACTGCAGAGCCAGAAGGGACCTCACAAGCCACCCCCACCCCGAATCTCCCAGAGTCACACAATTAGTATCAGAGGCAGAATCTGAACCCTGGTTGTCCTGCCTCTAAGTGTAGTACTCTGGACATCACACGGCACTACCTCTTTGTTTCAGTGTGTTCCAAACATATTGAGTCTGAAACACCTGTAGGAAATCTATTGGTCCAGGAGATGGTTGGTGTTGCGAGCCTAGGACTTGAGAGAGAGAACTGGGCTACGCAGATAGACAGGGGAGTTTCCTCATAGAGATAAGACTTCAATCCGTGGGAGCTGACAGGGTCTCCAAGAGAGGGAGGATGAGAGCTGACCTGGGGCTGCTGGTTTGGGCTTTGTTCTGGGGGGACTAAATCTGCTTTCTCTGGGTTGCAGGTGGTTTGACAAAACGTTCACATTCATCGTCTTCAAGAATGGCAAAATGGGCCTGAATGCCGAGCATGCTTGGGCAGATGCACCAATTGTCGCCCATCTATGGGAGGTGAGAGGCTATAATTTAAAGTTGAAAAAGGAATTATTATTCTTATGTTATTCTGTGAAGTCCAAGTTCAAGTGATAGGAAAGTTGATGTGGAAATATTTTATTAGTGTTCATAGCTCACAAACCATCCCCGCAAGTGATCTTGGAGTGAAAATGTGACCCACCCACTTTGGTTCCATCCTTTCCCGCTGCTATGAATGTTTTTGTACATATTGCTTGTTTCTTGCCTTTTTTTCCCCCTTAAATCCCTTTCACATCTGTGCCCAGCAGTGGTATCAATCACAGAATCAAACTCAGGGCCTTTGGGCGTTTAGTCCTAAATTGCTTTCTAGAATGGCTGGACTGGGTCACAGCCCTGCTAACAGTGCCTTCGCATGCCTGTTTTCCCAAATGCCTCCAACAATGATATTTTCCTCTTTTGTTCTCTCTTGATGTGAGATGAGCCAGCCATAGTCTGATATCTCTTTTGTTGATGCCTTGAGAAAGCGGTCTACAATTGGTACCTCCACTCCCTCTCCTCTCGCTCTTTTCTTGATTCTGTGCAATCTGGTTCTTGACCTCATTCCACTGACACTGCTATCTCCAAAGTTACCAGTGATCCCTTGATCACCAAGTCTAATGGTCTTTTCTCAGTCTTCATCCCTGTGGCCCTGTCTGCAACCTTTGACATTACAGGTCACCCCCTTCCCCTGGACACTCTCTTCTCTCTAGGTTTTTGTGACCCTACTCTTTCCCACTTCTCCCACCCTCTGTCTGGCCACTTCTTCTCAGTCTCTGTTGAGCTGATTTTTGAAGGAAACAGTAGAAGTGAGGAGGAAATATATTCTAGGCATGGGTGATGGCCATGAGAGGTGGGAAATGGAGTGATGTGTGTGAAAAACAGCAAGAACACCAGTTTGGCTTCCCATTTCTCTCCATCCCGCTCCCCTCCCACGCTTTCAATTTATACTTCCTCCTCTTGTCTGAGATGTATGGATTTTTTAACCCTCTAGCTAGTTTCATTTTTTTGGGGGGGGTAGATATTTAGGAGTTTGTGAATCAGTTTAAAATGTTCTCTTTCTACTTATCATTCTATTTAAGAATGGAGAAATTTCAGTTGCAAAAGAATGATTTAAGATTTGGAATTTGTTTACATCGTGTGAGCATTTTTTGTGTATCTTCTTAAATGGGCAAAGATTTTGACTTCAATCCCTGGAGAGTATCTTAATGCCATCAACTATAAAGTTTTTGCAGTCTTTAAATAAATACCCACATGGTTTCATTCTTTGCAGTATGTGATGTCCACAGACTGCTTCCAGCTGGGCTACACAGAAGATGGTCACTGCAGGGGAGACACCAATCCCAACATTCCGTGCCCCATGAGGCTCCAGTGGGAAATCCCAGAAGAAGTGAGTCTGGTGGGAGGAGCAGGCTTGTGTGTTGGGCGCAGCCACACCTCACATTTGTGTGGCCGCACTTAGTCACCACGGGGAAAGGAGGCTGGGGCAGGACGGGGAATAGCTCCCGTAACTTCCCCCCGCCCCATTCTGTTCTTAGCAGACCAGGAAGAAGAGCTCAGTCTTCTTCAGTGGGAGCTTGGTACCTATTTCCTTATGTTCTTTGCCTTAGTATCTTGTTTGTTTTGTTTTGTTTTGTTTTTACTTTTTGGTGAGGTGATTATCGGGGTTAAGTGACTTGCCCAGGGTCACACAGCTAGTAAGTATCTGGGGCTGGATTTGAACTCAGGTCCCCCTGACTCCAAGGCCAGAGCTCTATTCACTGCATCACCTAGCTGCCCCTTTGCCTTAGTATCTTGGATGGAGTAGTGAGCAAGTATACTGACTAATGTCTACATAGAATTCCTCTGGGAAATAAGAAAGGCATAGAGGAAAGAGCATTTCTGAAGCACTTACTGGGTACCAGGCACTGTGCTCAGCTAAGACTGCAGTTACCCAAAGAACAGCGACATTCAAGGTAACAGATACTCTTTGGGCATTTTGCCTTTGAGATGCTTCTTGCTCATTACTAATCTGACCCTTTGGTGTAAAGAGTTCGAGAGTTCGTTTTTGAATACATCCGAATGAGTAGAGCAAGGGACTGCTTGGTCTATGGCCACAGTGAGATCTAGGCTTACTTAAAAGATATCTAATTAATAATCCAAACAGCAAACACAAGATGGATTAGAAACCTGTCTTGTTCAGACCATGCCATTCAATTGGGTGGTCAGTCCACTGAATCAGTTCAAAATCCGGGAAAAGCCTTGCCAGTGGAGGCAGAGGACAGGCCAGACTGGATCTGGATGACTGCTCTTAGTAACTCCGAGATGCTCCCCCATACAGATCTTGTGCTGGTGATGTTATCTGGTTGTGAATCTCAGAATGCTGCAGTCTCTAAATAATCTCAGTTGCTGAGGGTCCAAAGGGCAATGGGGATGTGCTTGGAGGTGTAAGGTGGCTGGGCGATGTCATGGTGGCCATGTGTCATTGGAGAAGGAGATGGGTCAGTCATGTGGTGAGTGAGGAACCGCAGAGGAGCTACCTACCTACCTGGGGCCTGGGGTCCAGGGACCCGGCCTTGGCTTCATCTGCACCATAGATGGCTGGCTCCTCCGTGGGCCGAGGATTGGGATGGATTGTCCCCCCCGTGGCCGAGAGCACAGAACCCCAGCAAGGGGGGAAGCGTGTGGGAACCATCTTGGTGAGGTATCTTAATCTTCTGCCCTTAGTGTCAAGATGTCATCGAGAAGTCGCTGAGCCTCGCCTGCACCCTGGCCAACGATGTGGATTTTCACTCGTTCCCGTTTGATGCTTTTGGTAAAGGGCTAATCAAGAGAAGCAGAACCAGTCCAGATGCCTTCGTGCAGCTGGCTCTGCAGCTGGCCCATTACAAGGTGAGACCCAGAGCCCTGCTCCCTCCAGTTCCTCGTCCCAGGCTGAGTCAGTGATGTGACCGGGAAGAAACACTCCAAGGGGGTGTGAGTGTTGGGTGAGGCCTCAGCATCCACCCCCTCTGTCTGAGCTTCCCTCAGGTTGAGCTAGAAAGTGGGGGGCAGAGGGGGAAGAGAGAGAGAGAAACGAGAAGGGAAGGGGGAGTGACAGAAGCAGAAACTGGGACCTCTTCTGGTTTTCCTTCGATGCAGCCCAGGAGAAGAGGAGCCTGGGAGACACATGAGCAAAGCTAGCTCTCGTTTGAGACAGTTTTACAAACTTATGGACCTGCCTTCCTCCCTCCCTCTCTCCCTTTTTTCCTCCCTCCCTTCCTATCTTCCTTCTTTCTTCTTTCTCTCCCTGTCTTCCTTCCTCTCTCCCTCCCTTCCTTTCTCTCTTTCTTGCTATTTTCCTTCTTCCTCCCTTCCTCCCTCCTTCCCTGTCTTCCTCCCTTCCTCCCTCCCTCCCTGTCTTCCTTCCCCCCTCCCTCCCTATCTTCCTTCCTTCTTCCTTCTTTTCCTCCCTTCCTCCCTTCCTTCCTTCTTCCTTCCTTCCTTCCTTCCTTCCTCCCTCCCTATCTTCCTCCCTTCCTTCCTAGCTTCCTTCCTTCTTTCCTCCCTTCCTTCCTCCCTTCTATCCATCCATCCATCTCACCCAATCTAGAAGCACAGCAGACCCTTATGGGCCCAATCCCACTACTGATTAGCATGGATGCTTCCTGCCCCATTTCCTCCAGGCTGCACGGTTCCGCCCTCCTTGGGCAGCCCAAAGGCCCTCTGCTTCCGTGGGCTCACTATGATGGTGCCAAACTGACTGCAGACCCTGACCATCTTAAGCCCTGCTGCATGTCAGAACTCCTGAGCTCAACCAAACTGCTAGCCTCTCCCTCCCCAGTAGCCAGGATTACAGGCATGTATCACCATGCCCAGGGATAGAGGAAAAAAGGCTTATTTGGCTTGCCAGAAAGCCCAATGATCCTCTCTAAATATGCATGCCCCAAGAAGCAATGCCTTGACTAGCAAGGTGGCCCCTTCAAAAAATGGGTGAAGGGCTTCTTGTGAAGGGGGCTGACTGGGCCAGTCACCCACCTTGTGAATCCTGTTTCTCTGTCCTCTAGAGGCAGCTCAGGATAATGCCTGTGTTGAAAAATTGTTTCTTAAATTTTCTATTTCAAAGTTTTAACATTTCTATCTTGATAAATGTTTGTATGAAAGCTGCCTCATGATGACTTTTAAGAGTCCATATTGCTGGGCTGCCTTTCAACACGGGGCTTTGAAGAGTTGTCACATGTGAGAAGGACTAGCCTCATGCTGCTTGGCCCCAGATGGAGGGCCAGGGGCAGTGGGCAGGAGCCCCCGAGGGCTGGGTGTCAGAGAGAACCTTCTGGGAGTGAGAGCCATCCCCGAGCAGAGTGGTTTCCCTTGGGAGGCAATGGGGTCCCCCAGACTGGTTGGACTCCTGCTTCCAAGGTCCTGTCCCATCCCGAGTCCTCAATTGTTTGTAATTGGGTCCACCAGCACTCTTCAATGTGTTTTCTTTGGCCAAGGCTAGAACCAGACCTGTGATTCTCTTCAGCAGACCCTGCCTGTCCCAGGGAGACTCTGCAGGTGGCTGATGGTTTGTGGCCTGTGCTTGGGCCTCTGATTGCCAGGTCTCCGTGGATTCGGGGCCGGGAGGCTGTTGGCTTTGCTGCAGCCTGGTAGAAGTTGGTGATGCCGGGCTGCCTGCCCGTGGTCGCCTCTCTTCTCGGGGCCCGCGGCGAGGTCTGGGCACTTCAGGTCAGGCAGCCGCTCTGAGCAGTAACGTGAGTTGGCCTTTTGGCGCAGTCTCCGCTTCCGTGGCGTTTGTATACTAATTTGCAGTCTGTGCTCTCAGGTCCAAGAGAGTGGGATTTTAGATGAACCTTTCTCAAACTAGATTCAAATGCATGGCAAGTCTGATCTGTGTCTGCATCTGGGCTCTGCATTGAAAGCCTGGCCCATAAAAACGTTTGCATCCTTTGTTTCAAAGTTGTCTTTACAAAGGGCTCGAGTGCTCAGTTTGGCCTTTCAAGCTCCCCTGTTTCTGATGCTCCTTTTCGCTCCTTATGCGGGTGGTTTACATTGTAGAGTGACGTTCTTGATGCAACACTGTGTCATCCTCCCTCATCCTCCCTCATCCTCCCCTGACACGCGGGTCCCTGGGGGAGAATAAGACAGGCTCGGTTTTTAGACACCCCCTCTCCCCTCCACCAGCCCAGAGAGTTCGGTTTATAGGGGCGCAGGGGAGGGTGTTTAAAAGCATCCTGTTTTGAGCTTGTTTTCCCTGTGATAGACCCACTGGGCAGATTTGATTGTGAGAAGGGTTCCATCGATAACAGTTGGAGGTCTGGGACCAGAAATCTAACCAGTCCCACCATGCCAGATCCCCCCAGTCACTCTCAGGGCTCCTTGGGACAGAAGCCCTGCCCTGCTCCCCACCCCTAGTGAAATTCTGTCTTGGTAGCTCATGATGCCCTGGAACAAAGAAGGGGGCTCACTGCCCAGCAGTCTGTCCCTGTCACCCCCAGGCCTGGGAGAAGGTCTGTGACGTTCTGGGGAGCTGGCCAGGGCTTGGCGCACATCGACACAAGTTTTAGGGGGCTTCCCACTATAGCAGAGTGAGATAAGCTTTGGTGAATGCAGCATAGAAATGTCCTTGTGTCCACTTAGAAACCACTGCAAAATGGCACCAGCGTTCCTCCTCCACAACCTCTGGGTCATCTGTCTGCTTGCCCCAACTCCAACTCCCTGGAAAGGACATGAGGGACATCCAGGACCTCGTTGCATCCTCCAGAGCTTATCAGAGGATCAGAGAGAAGGCCTCCAGCCTCTTGCCCCTAAGCTGAATGCTCCTGCCTTTCTGCCTTGTGTCCAAGCATCCTCTGCCCAGGAGATCTCTGCAGGGGGGTCTAGGTTCCTGGACAGAGTTGTCCTTATTGGGCTGATGGAGGGTGAGGCATGAGGCTTGGTTCAGCCTGGCCCCCAAGGCAGGAGTTCTCCACACCTGTGACTTTTTCCTCCCTGCCCCTCTTGGCCCTCTCCAGTCTAAACCAGCCTCGCTTGGTAGGGGCGAGGGGGCCTTTTGCCCAAGCATTCTAGCCATGTCATCTGGGGCTGGTTTGGAAACCAGCAGTCCCATGCTCCCTTGGCGGTCAGTACAGGGTTCACTATGATAAAATACTTGGCGAGAACATCCTGAGCTGGCGTGGCATTAGCCTCGCAGCCAGAAGACTGGGGTGCAAGTCCTCACTCCAACACATGCACTTCTCCTAGTCATGTGACAAATGGCCCTTCCCATCTTGGTGGCCCAGGGAGCTCTCCCGGCCTCTTCACCTCAGAACATCTGCTGAACAGCATGGACAGAGGAAGTTCCTTCCCCAAGGGTCCCCTCTGTCAATTAAATCCCAGGCCCAGATAAAGCAGAGAATATTTTCTCTCTGGAGCTCCCATACAGAGTTATGAGAAAACTGTGTGTAGCATATAGATGTTAACTGCCATCAGGAGACAAAGGAACGGTGATGGATGTGCTTAGATCCTTCCATGGGCCACCATAGGTCTGCATGCTTGGGATCTTCCCCACCTTTTCACAGATTCAGACCGCTCAGAGGCAATCTCCCTTCCCTGTCCCTTCTCGCTCCCACACAAGCACTGGTTGGGTGTGTTTAGTCAGGAGAGGCCTCCCTGGAAACCTTGGTCCCCCAGAGGCTGAGCTCACCCAGCCCTGGGAAGATCACACATGCACACACATGCGTAGTACATTCATGCATGTATATGGATGTAGATGATGTTCTAAGCCCATAGGTGGAGAAGCTCAGAGTCCATCGCTGCCATTTCTAAAAAAAGTTATTACTGCCAACGAAGTGGTATTGATATGTGGGATGGTCTTTTCCTTGCTAGGACAAGGGCAAATTTTGCTTAACGTATGAAGCTTCCATGACCCGCCTTTTCCGAGAAGGACGAACAGAGACTGTCCGTTCCTGTACTATGGAGTCTTGCAACTTTGTGCTTACCATGGTGGACCCCATGCAGACGGTGAGTGGACAGAATGCCTGGCCATGCTCCTATGCACTTTGCTTCATTTTAACAATGACTTGTGCTGTCCGAGGTTCTGATCCATCCAGTCCCATACTTCCTTGCAGTACAAGTAGTGTGGACGAAAGGGGGCGCCCCAAATATGTCATCCTTCATCGGTTCCACGTTGATGCTCTAAGCTGTGATGGCCTATGTCCGCCTCTTGTTTGAAGCAGAAGGTGTCCAAGCTAGAGCAGTACAAGCAAAACGCTTCACCTCCCAAGGCATGGGTGGTGGCTTTCCTAAAGAAGGCCAAGGGGCCTCTGAAGAATGGGAGGAGAGTTTGAAGGTTAGTCCCTGAAGAGCAGGGAATGGGATTAGGGTTAACTAGCATGTAGGGTCAGATCAGACCATGGTGATGCCTACACACTGAGCACACCCAACTGGATGGCACCACTCCTCCACGAAGCATTTCCACAAAGAGGGAGTCTTCACTCATGTGGGTCTTCATCAATGACCTGCTCAGTCAATGGTCAGGGCACTTCTTAAAGTTCCTTTCAGCCCAATGATTTCTGGGCATGTTTGTGTTCCAATAATTTCTTTCTTTTTTTAAAATCAAATATAAACATAACTAAAAGTAGCATTTTAAATAGAAATACTCTATTATTGGCTAAACCAACTTTGGAAGCTTACTCATAGTCTATGGCAAAGATGAGTGTGGGTGATGGTACTGACGAGCTACAGGAGAATTCAGTCATCTGAATGGATATTATTGTGTGCCAGGTATGTGCTGGGCCCTGGGGATACAAGGACAAAAATAAAACAGCCCTTGCCCTTCAGGACCTTCCATTCTATTGAGGGATTTAAGATGAACACACAAAGTGAAATACTAACTACAGGAGACGGGAACTGGGCTGGTGATTCCCCTGCTTGGGGAAACTCCCTCTGCCAGTGGAGGTCAGCACCTTCTCTGCAACTTGTGGTCTTAGCGAGATGCCTGGGACCCATGAGGGCAGGGGATCTACCTGGAGTTGTATAACCAGTATGTGTCAGAACTTCCTAGCATTAAGGCCACTGTACTACACTGCTTCTATCCACTGTACTACACTGCCTCTCGAATATGAAATATATCCCAAGTAATTTTGTGGAGGAGGATATGAGTCTAATACAGAGGGCAGTTTCCCACAGAATTATTTACTATATTATCCTAATAACCCTAATGGTGAGTGTGGCCATACAAAGGCTTAGCTGGCACTCTCCATAGTCAAGGTAAGAGTAGAGGTGAGCCTGGGAGGGCCATCAGAAGAGGAAGGAGGAGGAAGAGGAGGAAAGATGGAGCCATGGGGAGCATGTCCTTCTGGGTACATTGGGTACACTGGAAACGCTGCTTCTTTTTCTGTTGACTCAGCTAAAAACTCTCCACCCCTTCATCTGAGGCCCACCAGGCCAGTTTTCTATGTGAGGAACCACCCCACCCTCAGCCTCCTACAAGTGACCATTCATCATTGGCCTCATGTGTGAAATTTTTCCAGTTTGAGATTTCAGCGTAGCTCTGTTGCTGAAGCCCTTTTGAAGTCTGGTCACCTCCACACCCCAAGGAGGCATCAGAGCAGGACTTCTCTGCAGAGGGCTGAGTACATCATAACAATTTGTATTTCCCAGAATCTCACTTTTGTTCTAACAAAGTAGGCAAGAGTGAAAACAAATCTTATTTGCATGGGACAACCTTTACTACATCCATACATCGACCACCGATGGGGGCCCATCATTTCGGATCCTGCTCAGTGGCGAGTGCAGCAGCCTCAGAAGACAGTTTTAAACACTACAGCTTGAAACAACCACATATGCATCATATTCTTTTCTCTTTCTCTCTGTTATATAGGTTGAAAAAAAGCTCAAATTATTCAAAATTGCAGCTAATAAACACCAACATTTGTATCGTCTTGCCATGACTGGTGCTGGCATTGACCGCCATCTTTTTTGCCTTTATGTGGTCTCCAAATATCTAGGTGTTGATTCTCCTTTCCTGAAAGAAGTAAGTAATTTTGGCAGAGGTATTTGACATGTCTCACTCAGCTAAACCAAACCCCACCTTTGGCATCAAAAGGGCTGATTGACAGGCATTTTTTTAAGTGCCTAGTATGTGCCAGGCACCGTGCTAAGGCAAACACAAAACAGCGCCTGCCCTCAAAGAGTTCATATTCTAATGTGAAAAGGCTAGAACTAAGGATTAGGAATCTTAATAAAAATGAAAAATATGACCCGGAATTCTAATGCATTAAAGTTTCTTGTAAATGATCAGATACGTGACTCTTCTGGCATAAGTAGATACTAGAGTGAATGACTGGTCACACTTGTGTGGGGTAATAAAATGCTGCCCTGGTTGAAACAGAAAGGGCATTAGACTTTCCAGGGTAGGATCTTCAGAGGATTGATGAGGACAGGAAATACCAGAATGTCTCCAAGTTTATATTCCTGTAGGATTCGGATTTCTGTGAATATGCTCAAAACAAGCGCTTTATATGGAATCCAGACTGCTCTCACCCAGTTCTCCAACCCCACTACTGAAAGCACACAGTTATGTCGGCCTGCCTCGGTTGTCCCAAGGACTGGATTCATGTCCTGTCTTCTGCTTACTGCCTATGTGATTTCTGGCAAATCTCTTCCCCTCCAAGGACCCCATTTTCTCTCATTGGTTAGATATGAGGGGGGGCAGACAGTGATCCCCGAGACCCTCTTTTAGTCTTATGATCTTTCTTCATCTGCCACACACAGTCCTTGCAGTGGGCTTAGGGAGGAACATATCACAATTGAGGGTATCAGAATGAGACCAGGTGGCCATCACACAATTGTCATATGTGAAGGTGAATACGTCCTGGAGGCAGTATTAGCCCTCTGTGTCTAAAAGAAGGTCAAGAGACAAAATGGCGTCACCAGGGGCCTCTTCATTCCTCTACCTTTTAATCATCACCTCCTAACTTCTACTTTCCCCATGCCCCAAAAGTTCTCTGTATATAGAGAGAAGTGTCATTGTATATCCCTAAATTCTACCCAAATTCTGCTCTAAAGGTTTTATCTGATCCATGGAGACTGTCAACTAGTCAGACACCTCAACAGCAGATAGAACTCTTTGATCTAGAAAGGAATCCAGAATATGTGTCTAGTGGAGGTGGCTTTGGACCGGTAAGTAAAATATTTTGTTGTTGTTCAGCTGTGTCTGACTCTTTGTGACCCCATTTGGGGTTTTCTTGGCACAGACACTGAAATGGTTTGCCATTTCCTTCTCCAGTTCATTTTACAGATGAGAAAACTGAGGCAAACAGGGTTAAGTGACTTGCTCAGAGTCATATAGCTACTGAGTGTCTGAGGCTGGATTTGAACTCAGGTCCTCCTGATTCCAGACCCAGTTCTCTATCCACTGTGCCATCTGGCTGCCAAAGTAAAATATAGGGCTGGTAAAATGTGCCAAGTATTCTGAACGTGCATCAGATAGCGCGTAATGCCTTTGTCGATTAGTGATCTTGTCTTTGAGATACTCCTCCATCCCCATCCCCACCCCCAGTATCTCTTCACTAACCTATCAGAGTCCTGATTTTGTACCTGTCTTTCCTGTAGGTTGCTGATGACGGTTATGGGGTGTCCTATATTATAGTAGGGGAGAACCTCATCAATTTCCATGTGTCCTCCAAGTTCTCTAGCCCCGAGACTGTAAGTATGAAAATGGTCCCTCTCTCTGCTGTGATATGTGCTCATTCTGACCTTTATTTTTTAAAGGGTGCCTTTTCTACATGTCTGATAATTAGGTTATCTACTGTTGCTAGTGAACTGTGCATTTATTAAACTCCTGATCTGCATAGAGGGCTGCAAAGACAAATAGAAGGGAGTCTTTGCCCTCAATAATTGCCCTGATCATTGTTGGTAGCAAAACCTTGGGATGGGTCTACACCACCACATAAACCTTGGGATTCATGGCATGAGAATGCCTCTGAGTTGGAAGCTGCCTCATAAATAGATAAGGTTCTTTGGGGCCCTTTAGCAACCAAGTCCCACTTGATGGAGTCCAAGATGATGATGTGGGGATATTACAGTTTAGCATCCTTCTGTACTCAGAACAATCCATTTCTCTTAGCTACAAGGACCAGAGAATTAGGGCTGACCTGTATGCTTTTTCATGACAGCCTTTATGCTGAGCCCAGCTCTTTGTCTGCCTCTTAATGGGGCACCCTTCAGTCCAGCTCAGAAAATACAGATAAAGCACCTACTGTGTAGCCTTTGGTGAGCCACTCAGCCTCCTTACGTTTCAATTTCCTCCTATTAGTAGGAGGAGTTTGGAATTGCTAGCCTGGGGTGTCCCCCTCCCCACCAGCTCTCAGTAGTATGATCCTACAAAAGCCCCTCAAGGTGAGATGACCACAGTTTCCATGAAGTTGTTTTCTCTTGTTGATTATAGGCGTGTGGTGAGACAGCCCTCTCCCCACTTCCTTTACTGTGCTCCCAATAAACCTGGGAGCTGTCCTTCCCTCCCTGTCCACGTGGGTGTGGCTCCATTCCATTCCCCAGCAGTGTGTAATGAGGGATCATTCTCTGGAAAAAGGATGGCCCTTCAGAGTCCCTGAACTTGGATGCTTAGAGGTTGGGGTCCCCGAGGGCCACTGCCAAAATCTTTTCGTAGATGATGACCCAACTGAGATAAAGACTTCCCCAAGTCCTGGCGAATGGACTAACAGAAGGAAGGAGGGGAGTGCAATGTGGGCAACATTGGGCATCAGCAGCCCCTGCCATTGTTGGGAACCATTTGATGGAATCTTCCGACGGTCACTGTTTCCGACTTTGCCTTGCATGTAGAGAAGGCAGAACACACTCTTGTGTTGGGGGCAAGGGGGAGTATCACACAGCTGACCACCACCTCTAAGCTGTCATCTCATTGACTGCTTGACTTTCTGGGGTGAGTGAGTGGCTTTGAGAAGGGTGTTGATGTTGGGAAACCATCTGATGTGGCGAGTTTTTACCTTTTGTTTTGTTCTCCATTGCCATTAAAGGATTCTCATCGGTTTGGAGCTCACCTGAGGCAAGCCATGGTCGACATCATCAACTTGTTTGGACTCCATTCCAATGCCAGAAAGTAATTCCAGTTACACCCACCACGGGGGAAATGGAACTCTTCTGACACCAAATAAGACTGGACATTGCAAGGGCCAGAAGACACTCTTTTCCAGAGATGGTTTTTGTTTTGTTTTGTTTTGTTTTTGAGAGAGAGAGGGAGAGAAGACAGCGGGAGAGCAGAGTATATGATATGAAGAAGCATAATTTTGTTACTTCTAGGTATGTCCTAATGATGTGAATGCTTGATTCCCCCCCTAAAGTCTTTGTCTTGTTTAAATTTAATAAATGAAGGGATTGAAGTAGTGTCGATTTAATGTAAGTAGAGAAATTTTGATGTAATATATGTGTTGGGAGCAGAAATAGCATGTTTCCTCAATTGTGACTGTATATCTGGTACTTATGGGCATTTAACTCCTGTTATCAGAACAGATATATATGCATTATATATTTTTTAAATTGTTTAAATTGGAAGTGTAATCAATGGACATAGCCATGTCATGGACTGACTAAGAATGGGGCAGCTCTTTGGAACAAGCTTTTGCCACAATGGAGAGCTCAGTTACTTACACTGCCTAAGAGAATATCCACCCCCTGTGTTTGCTTCATCTCTAGTTTTATTGGTATGGGAATAAACCTTGAGTGTATTTATAAGCCCAGTGCCTTAAAAATGGAAGGCCCTAAACACAAGAAAAGTCTTACACAGATTGTATTATAACTGTAAAGTCTGTTGCTGAATTGTGGGATTACAAATTCTGTTCTCTTATCTTTTTTTTTTTTCCACTTGGGTTCAGTCCTGGAATGAACTTGTGAGCAGAGTATGAACCACCCTTCACAGGCAGGCATATGTGTCTGGTTTTCTCCTGCCACAGAGTCCAGCTTTCATGGGGGGGGGGGGTGTGCGCGCGCATGCTTGTGAGAGAGAGAGAGAGAGAGGCCACTTCAATCAGCTTTCCCCTCCTTCCAAAATGGGGAGCGTGGCATTGGCTAGAGAGGCAGAGTAGCCATCTGTTGTCACCAGCCGGGTGCTACTACGTAGGAGCAAATGTAACATGATGGCTGATGTAAGAGAGAGGATGATGGGAAGGAAGGGAAGAAAAGCAGAGCGCAGGTATTCCAAGTTTTTAAGAGTGGAGCCTCTTCTTCCCAGCAGGATTGTTTTTGGAGAGAGAGAGAGAAAGAGAGAGAGAGAAAGAGAGAGAGAGAAAGAGAGAGAGAGAAAGAGAGAGAGAGAGAGAGAGAGAGAGAGAGAGAGAGAGAAGAGAGAGAGAGAGAGAGAGAGAGAGAGAGAATGAATGAGAGAATGAAACAAAACAAAAAACTCCAATCCCCCTCATTCCCAAAGGATGATAGTACAAGGATGCTGGCTGACCATGGTTTTTAAAGAATCTAGAACCTGTGAATGTGAATGCTGGGACAGAGCTGACCTCATGAGGTAGGATCCGACTGGTTTTTGTTTTAAAGGCACTGAATCCCTCTGGTCTTTACTGCCAGAGTTAAAGGCTCATGGAACTCAAAGACACCGCCACCGGGCTGGACTGACAGTGTGTGTTTTCTTCCAACGCTGTGTTTACTTTGGCATCTCACCGCCCGGCCCTGCTTGGTTTGCCTCCAGTGATACGCAGGAAGGGCTGACCATCTGGAGCCCATGGAAGGCACCTGCTGAAGAGCGGTGCAGATTTGGCATATGTGTGTATTGTGCTACAGGCATCTCACTCAAATGGGCCAAAGAATTGTTTTTCTTTTTTTTAAAGTAAAAACAAAAGAATTGGGTTTAGTGTCTGGGCAAAAAAAAAAATCATGAGAAAAAGCCTATGCTGCAGGCAGCCAGTGGGACATTAAATCGGACACTGCAAGATCCCTCCAGCCATTCATTCTAGGCTGCAGAAATCCTGCACTATTTATATTGACCACTGACCAATCTGTATTAAAATAGCATTTAAATTTGTATTAGCTTGTAGGAGAGGTTTTATTATTAAAGATAGTGTCTGGGCTTGACTTTCAGGTTTTAAATGTTTTAAATGTAATTGTAGTTAATCAGAGCAGTCATCGACGCAACTTTACATTCTCTGAAAGAATGTAAATATAATTGGCACAGAAAGTCAGTTGTTATTGTATGTGTTGAAAGGGGCAGTAAGAGTATCATGTATTTAATTTTTATTTAGAGGAGATCCAGATTCTTCATGGAGATGTGGTTTGTATTCACTGCTATCTTGGAATGTCCACTGCATGTAAATAGAATATGCTTTTTGGGATGTAAATCTTGGAAATGCTACACGAATGTAGGCTCTCATTAATAAAGAAATTAACCTCAGTCTTCAACAGCACTGTTTGGCGCATTTCCCCAGTGGAGTGAGGTGGTTTATAAACATGACATCATCCCATGTGTCCCAGCTCAAACTTCCCAGCAATCTCCATCACACTCAGGATGGAACAAGGACCAGAACTTAAGTAGGGAAAAGTCTTCTGAAAAGTCACTCGACACCTCAAAGGTCTTTGGCCCATCCATGTCACAGTGACCATGGACTCCAAGGAGATCAGCAACAGAAAGTGAATGCTCCTAGATTATACTGCAAGAGGAGTACTCCACAACAGCACTTTTTGTGGTAACAAAGCATCCTAAACAAATCGAGGGAAACTGAACAGATTGTGGTCATAAGATCATAGATTCAGGGCTGGTATACCTTAGCAGTCATCTTGTCCAGTGGACTACAAGAGGGCGTTATTGACCAAGGTCAAGTCAAAGAGCATGAATTTGAACCCAGGACCCTTGGCTCCAAATTTGTTGTTGATCAGTCATTTTAGTCGTGTCTGATTCTTCGTGACCCCATTTGGGGTTTTCTTGGCAAAAATACTGGAGTGGTTTGCCAGATGAGGAAACTGAGGCAAACAGGATTAAGTGACTTGCCCAGGGTCACAGAGCTAGTAAGTGTCCGAGGCTGGATTTGAACTCAGGTCCTCCTGCCTCCAAGTCCACTATTCTAATCACTGTGCCACCTCGGTCCAAAATTTGGCTCCACATCTGTTGTGTTGTCTACCATATCTTGTGGATGTAATGGAAGATTGCAGTATATTGGAAATGTAAATAAAAACTTCAGAAAAACATGAGAATTCTATGAACTGATTCAAAAGGAGAACAGAACCAGGGGGCACAATATTTGTACAATATATTACACAATTATACAATGACCACACTTGTGTTCATGAAAACCCTAAAGGGTTGCTGACCCCACGTCAATTGTATTGCCCAATCTTGGTCCCAAAGAGCAGGTGACAGAAAGGAGAGGGAAAGGATAAATTTGGCACCCCCTCAGGATGGCCTCCTGGTTACCAAGGAGGGAGGGTTGGATGGGGGTGGGGTGGGGAGATGGCTTACTTTGGAGAATGACTGAAATGAAAAACAGAAGGCATTGATAGAACTTTAAAAATATATGTAACCTGAGATCTTTCCCAACCTAAAAAGACCTCAGAGCTGCCAAAGTAAGCGCTCTTCAATCCACAAAGCATTTCTTAAGCATCTTCTACAGGCTGTGGGCTAGGGAGACTGTGACCAAGAGGACACAGTGTTCTACCGAAGGGAGCTTGTATTCTGGAGGGAGGCATGTGCTTGGGGAGTAAACAGCGTGTATACACATGACGGGTAGTTAAGAATGCTGGCCCTAAGTTCAAATCAGGTCTCAGACACTCACTAGCTGTGTGACCGTGGGCAAGTCACTTCACCCTGTTTGCCTCAGTTTCCTCATCTGTAAAATAAGCTGGAGAAGAAATTGGCAAGCCGCTCCAGTTATCTTTACCAAGAAAACCCTAAATTGGTCAGACATGACTGAAATAACTCAACACAACAAAAAATACAGCAGAGTGTATATGACGTATACAAAATGTGTGCCTTTGGGTCCTGCTTCTCTGCATCAGTTCATACAAATCTACCATTTCTCTGAATTTTTCACATTATAAGGAGCTTATATTCTATTGGTGGATGGGTGGGGATAGAATTTGGGCATAGATAATTGGATCTTAGGAAATAATCAAGAGAGCAAAAACTGAATGGGGAGGGAGTGGAACCTCTAATGAGTGCAGAATCAACCCATGAGCATTTAATAAGTGCCTACTGTGAGCCAGGCACTGTTGCAGGTACTGGAATGAAGCAATCCCTGCTAGAAAGGACCTTACAGGAGGCTGGGCATTCTGAATTGGAGGGGAACAGGGAGCACTTTCAGGTCTGTGCAAAGGAAGGGGTGGGAAATGGATTGTTAAATGTGAGGAACAGCTAAGAGGCTGGCTTTGCGCATGAAGGGAAATAATGACGGCATTCTGGAAGGGTAGATGGGAGCCATGGTGTGCAAGGCTTCCTGTGGTACTGGGAAAGAGTGCTGCGTTTGGAGTCCGAGGAGCTGAGTTCAAATCCCAGCTGTGACATCGGGCCTGTTGGACTTCCCTTTCCCTGTAAAAGAGAGACCGTAGGTTCTGGGCCACCCACCAGGAGGGCTGTTCTTACCTCTTCTCCAATGATCTAATTGCCCAAATCCAGGAGTCTTTTTCTCTAACTTTCCTCCTTCTGGACCTCTTGGCAGACTTTGACACCTCTATCCCTGTCTCCTCCTGGACTCTCTCTACATTTCCTCGCCCCTACTCTCTCCTGGTTGCCCCCTACCTCTCCTCAGACTCCTCCTCACTCTCTGTCCTGCCTCCTCCTTTCTTCCCTTTCTCCAAAGCTTTCCCACCAGCCTGCCCAGCTGCCACATCCGCCATCGGTTTCCAAGTCTCGTGGATTGCCCCTCAAAGGTCCCTTCTCTTCATGCACAAAGCCTTCATCCACCTCCCACCTGACCTATGCTGTGCAGCCTCCTGGCTGGTCTCTCTGCCTGTCCCTCCCCACCCCCACCCCACCCCCCGACTATCCCCTCGGCTCCATCTTCCACTCGGCCGCCAGTGATAATCCTAAATCTCAGGCACCCCGCTCCTCAGGTTGTGCCAGCAGCTTCTGGTTGCCTCTAGACTCAAATGTAAACGCCTTTGCTTGGCATCTACACCTTTCAAGACCTAGCGCCGGGCTGCCCTTCCCGACAACCCACGTTAGTCTCCACACTGTCACTGGTCCAGACAGCGGGTCTGACTGCGGTTCCTCACCCGGGCCATTGACATTCATCTATTGTAGGCTGTCCCCGGCTGCCTGGGAGGTTCCTTCTCCCCTCTGCCTCAGAACCCCTAACGTCCTCGCCCCCCAAGAGGAGAAGCCCCCACCTCCAGAGGCAGCCCCTTCTCGGCTAGCACTGGCAGCTCTTGGGGTCAGCAAGGTCTTCCTGACATGCAGCCTCAATGGGCCCTTTTTGCCTTGGTCCCCCCAGTGCCTGGCACATGGTAGGTGCTTAATTGATGCTAGGTGTCCCTTTTATCAGGCTCAAAGACCTAATTCATCACAAGATTCCGTGCATCTCGCAGTGTCCTTATGGACGGGTCACTATTGTCCATGTGGAATTCTTCGTCTTCGAGCCCGGCTCTACACGGAAAGCAGCGTGTTTTTGTTAGGGGGATCTGTTAGGGTCATATTAGGATCACAGCTGTAATAGGGGCAAAGGCATCTAGTCCAGCCCCCTCCTTATGCAGACGAAGAGGGCCAGAGCGGGGAGGAGCTTTTTCAAGCTCCCCAGCTGGTGTCAGAGGCCGGATTAGCGGTCCCCAGGGCTTGGGACCATCCCGTTTTCTCGGACATCCCAGAAGGGGGTTCATGGTCAGGGTTTGCGGGGTCCCTCCCGAGGCGACCTTGGATAGGAAGGACGCTCATTTCATCTGGGGGCGGTCCCTGAGCCCCTACCTTGCAAGGGTAGGCTGGGGGAGGGGCGGAGGGCCTGAGGCGGCCTGCCCCTCCCCCTTCCCGGGCCCAACGGTCCCTCTCCCCTCCCCCCTTCCCCTCCCAACGGTCGACCCCTCTCTAGGGCACGCGCTCGGGGGCAGTTAGTGCGGCCTACCGCCGCCGGGGCACGCGCATGGAGGTAGTGTGCACGTGCCGGGCTCGCTCCCGCGCTGGCTGCGGGCACGCGGAGGCGGCAGCGCGGTCGTTCCCGGCTCCCCTTGTACTCGTCCTTGTCCTCGTCCTGGTCCTTCGTCCTCGGCGGCTCCTCCGCGGCCTCGCCCGGAGCCCCGGCCCCGCGGTGGGTATTCCGGGCCTCTTCCCGGGCCTCAGTTTCCCCCGGCGTAAAATGAGGAGCGCGCTTGGCTGCGTGACCCCGGGCTAGTGACTGCACCTCTCTGGGCTCACGGAGGGAGCCTCCACACTGGAAGGACCGGCATTGGCCAGACGCCCCTCCTCTTCCCTCCCAAGCCCCATCGAAGCCCGGCCGCCCCTGCCCCCTCCTGGCTGGGGGACCCCGGACAAGGCTACACAGCTGGAGGGCGCCTCCACGCTGGGAGGACCCAATGTCGGTGAAATCGCAGGTTCCCCTCCCCCCAAAGGTCTGCTCCTGTTGTCATGGACGCGGGGGGGGGGGGAGTGTCCGGAGCTGGGACTGGAAGTGACCGAGTGCGTGTCCTGCATCCTCACACCCGAGATTCCCGGGTCTGGCCAAAGGAAAGGGGGGTCAGAGAACACTTAGCCCCCGCAGCCCTAACTCCTGAAACAAGAAGACAGGGCTCCGCAGAGGTCAGGGCACCCCTTCTCTGCCTTTTACGGAGGAGGAAACTGAGGCCCAGAGAAGGAAAGGCATTTGCTCAAGGTCACACAGGGGTTCACCCCCCCCCCAGCCTGTGTCACAGACTTGTCATCCGGAAGCTTTGCCAGAGAGACCTTGGGCAGGTTCCATCCCCTCCTGGGGTCCCCAGGCACATCACCCCAAATTCTGTGTCTCTGGGGAGGGGAGAGGCAGCAGTCCTGGCTCTACCACAGACTCCCTGAGTCACTGACCTTGACCAACCTCACTTGCCTCATTTGTGACATGACAGTGTTGGGTCAGATGCCTTCTGCAACCCCTTGGTTCTCTCAATCTGTGACCCTGGCTAGGTCCATGGGCTTCCCCTGGGAATGTCTGATCTGGGGACCCACACATTGGAAGGATTTCTTCTAAAAGAGATCAGCCTTGTTTTGCCTGGCCCTGGAGGGCAGAACTGGAGCAGAGGGGCCATCTAAAACGTGCCAGGGCCTTGGCCTACAGTATCTCGTCTGAGCCCAACAATACAGAAGTACAGAATAGCTGCTACAAGCACCCATTCTGCAGATGAGGAAACTGCACAGGCTAGTGTCACAAGTGGGATTTGAACCCTGGTCACTCTAACAGTCCAAGCTATCCAAGGGGAGAATGGCCTGCCTCTGGAGTAAGGGTTTCCCTTCCGTGGAGGTCTAGGGAAGGCCAGATAACCTCCCTTGGGTGGTGTAGAAGAGTTGGACTCATTGGCTCCAGAAGTCCCCTCTCTATCACTTGAGTGCTCTGGGCCTCAGTTTCCCCATCTGTAAAACAAGGGGGTTGGATTAGATGACCTCTGTGCTGCACATCCTGGAGTCCTGCATTTTAAACAATTGCCTATGGAATGGAGTGGAAGTGGGGAGAAGTCATTTGGGCCCATTTGAAAGACTCTCATGTATTTGTTTTCTAGATGAAAGGACTTCTGGGGAGAAAACTGATTTTGGAAAAAGAAAACTGTAGAGATGAACAGTTTAAGATTTCTTCTGTAGATCTGGAAGACCAGCCCCTACTTGGTGGGATTTCAAGCACGGAAGATGAAATTGTGATGGAGATTTTTAGCCAAGACAGTCAATTCATTTCTGACAATATTAACCTGAAAAGCACCGTGATCAGTAAACACGAAGAGGATGAAGACTTCCATTCCTTTAAAGATGCCTACTTCTCTGTGGCCGACCCCCGGGAGACACTGCTGCCCTCCTTCAATGCCCCCCTCAATGCAGAGTGCAGCAGTAAAGTCAAGGTCGAACACCTGGCTGACGAGAATAATGAGGATGAGATTCTCCAAGACTATTCGGGGCTGCCTGAGCTCACCCCTTTAGAAGAGGCCATGCTGCCCTCCCCGACCCAGCTGCAGTCACACACCTACAATGTCCACTTCCTGTCTTCCTTAAGGCCTCAGCACAGGAACCCCCCCAGTGTCCTGCCCCTGGGAGCCTGGGCTGCCCGGGAAGGAGTGGTTCATCACAACGTCCAAGTGATTCCAGTAAGGTCCCTCCCTCACTCCCACGCAGGATTCCGGTGATCTTCATCATCCTCATGGAAGCCTCTGGGTTAAGGCTCATTGCTGGATGACATTAGCCCTTGTTAACCTAAAGCATCACACTGTAGGGCTTTGTGGAAAGGAGGAGGTTCATAGGCCAAAGCCGGGTGACTGGCAACCAGTCCCTTTTGGGGCTGGGACCCATCAGTTGAATCCAGAGTGGACAGATCAAGGTAGTTCCGTTCGTGGCAAAGGCAGGGGGATGATGGTGCTGTGTGGGTGGGAACACAAATGACCTTGGTCACTGATCAGTTACCTAGGTGTGGTCATCTGCTTAAACTCAGTGCTTGGTGCATAACCTGGGGGGTCTGTTTGCCCTGCTCCAGTAAGGTGGGAGCGTTGCCCTGTAAGAAGAGTAAACAAGTAGCGTTTGGGTAGCACTTTACAGCTATCATCTCATATCCTCAGCCTCCACATCAGGGGGGCTACGTGGTGGTGGCTTAGATTTCCTGTTAGCCCCGAAGTGGGTGGGGATTAATCTCTTGACCTTGGCCTCATTAGCCCATACTCTAACCAGGTAAGCTAATTTCCCCAAATGCAGCGACTCCCGATTGCTTAAAGTGAGTGGGAAGTCTAATGAGAGAAAGGACTGAAGTACTTTGTTGAGGAGCACACTCCTTTGCAGCTAGCCTGCTGGTGTCATTAATAATTACTAGTGTGATTGATAATTCTATTTGCAATTTCACTTCTGAAAACTCCGGATCTACATGATCTCATTTGAGCATCCTGGCAGTCCTGAGCTCATTTGAAGTGAATTTGAGATAATTCAGGCAACAGCGAACAGGATTCCTCTAGTAAGTAAGGGAGGCTCTAGTGGGGGTCACAGTTCCATAGGCCAGGCCCTGAGCTCAAGATCTGCTGCAGCAGCCTCTGATTGGCTCCTAATCGGCCTCCACTCCTGCTCCGATGCTCCTTCTTCTGGCGTGGAAGTGATCCTGGATCTTTGAGCTGGGAAGGAAAGGTTTGAGGAGCCTCGTCCCAGAAGGCTGCTTGCCTGCAGGTGGTTCCCAGGCTCTGTCTTGTGCCCGGCCCCTCCCTCCCCAGAACGGAGTAGTCCACATAGGATACATCAGTTTCAATCAACAAAGATGTTCATTTCTTGGAAGTGAAAACAGTGTTGTTAATCGTGGCTTTCACCTGTGCAGGAGAGATTGTCTGGCTCCAGGTTAGTGTTTGGAAATACTCAGATTTCAGGGACAGCCTGGAATTAACAGGGTGTCCCAGAAATCTTAGTGCAGTTTCACACTTTAGAAGCTTACTACTGCACCAAGACTTTTGGGACGCCCTTTATACAAGGACGAGAGAAATGCTGGGTGACAGGGGGAAGAGGGGAGAATCATTGACTTGCAGGGTCTACACAAAGAAAAGAATCTGAGGCGATTTGGAGCTTGTCCTACCTAATTACCTCTATCCACTCTGCGTTGAAAGCCCAGATAATTGCAGGAGCTATCCATATCACTCAGCTAAGTTTGCTACCAAGTTCCTGGTTAATGAGCAGCCGTGTTTGCGTGGGTCTGGAGGGAGTAAACAGCTCTAATTAACCAGGCAGGTGGCCAAAAGGGAAGAAAAGGAAAATGAGCAAACTCGTTCATCATGGTTCTCTTTGCCCTTTCATCATGCCCACTTTCCTTGACGGCTGGCATCAGTATTCATGAGTAAACCTGATCGCCTGACTCCAGGATGTTTTCGGAGCATATTTCATAGAAGTTTACAGGTGGCCCAGACCTCAGAGGTCCCCAAGGCCTTTCCTTTCCCCGAGGAAGTCCAGTGGGTGTTCAGAGAAGGCTGATGGTTAGAAGCGGAGCTCAGCTCTTCCTGTCATTTCAGGCCATTGGTCCTATCTTCTGCCCTCCAAAGTCGAGGCGAGAACACGCGCCCTTCTTCTGTAGTGCCAACTCTGCTGCCTCTTTAGGCTGATCCTGCAGCAGCTTCTTCTGAGACTGTGTCAGGAGTTCCCCGACATCCCAGCCTTCAGGGCCAAGTGGAGGAAATCCTGGGCGTCACACCCCGCAAGGAAGGGTTTTGGCCTCCATGTCCCTCCCCTCCCCCAGATATACTGAAGTCTGCTGGACTCAGGAGATGAGGAATCCTCCCAGACTCAGAGAATGTTATCAGGAGTATTTTGTAGGGGACAAGAAAATGCAATGTACCTGCCTGCGTCTCTTCTGTTTCCCTTTCAGTCCTGGGTTTGGGGTGTGCTACAGGAGGTCTAAGAGCCTCTAAAGCTGCCCCAATGCACTCAGGGGAAAGGATCTGGACCCCAAGGTCCTCAGCCCCAGACGCCACAAGCTGTAAGAAGAGCTGTATTTGCTTAGGAGGGGACTGACTTTGGCTACCTTCACATTTATCCACCTTGGGGGTTTCTAGGCATAGAAGAACCTGTGGCACAGGGCAGCCTGGCGTTGTTGGCTACCATCCAGTGGAATTCTCCAGATTTCAGTGTCCATCTCAGGGTAAAGTGTCCAGAATGGAATGTGGCCTCACTGTGGGCCGCCTCTGTCCTCTCTCATTCCAGGCACCAGCCTACAGTCCACTTTGAGTATTGGACCATCAGGTCACTCTGGCCCTTGTGGCCTGCAGACCCTAACGGCTCTTTCTTAGGATGCCCTCCATGCCATGAGCCTCCCACTCTGTACCTGGGCAGTTGCTCTTGAGGGGCCTGGCATCCAAGCCTAGCCTCTGGGGCTGGGGGTAGGGGGCTCTCATGTGTACTTTATATAAGATTCCTGGACAGACACAACCACAGAGATAACTTTGTTCAGTGGTTCTTTGATTATTCACGTAAAGTGAGGCCTAACAAAGGGAAGTGGATACCAGAGGCACTGGCCAGTGTCATGGAGGTGGGTCCTCATGAAATCCAAACCAAAGATTCCCTGGAGAAGATGAGGCTCTCCCAGTGTCGCCCCTTATCTTTGCCTTTGACATGGCAATGATATTACATTCTGCTCCAGAATACTGCAGGGCCTTATCTCAGACCCACCGTCACCCAGGAGATGAACAGTCCACATAGAAAAGAGGAAGTGGAGAAACTCAAGGACACCCGCTGTCCTGATTGGATGGGCACGAAATTGGATGGTCAGCCCCTTGAGTTAGCACAAAAGGGTATGTGTCTTGGAGAGTCTCTGGAGCTAGATAGGGGGCGGGGTTTAATCCTGAAGACTGGGATGGAAGGAAGGAAGGAAGGAAGGAAGGAAGGAAGGAAGGAAGGAAGGAAGGAAGGAAGGAAGGAAGGAAGGAAGGAAGGAAGGAAAGGAAAGGAAGGAAAAGAATGGAGGATGGAAGGGAGGGAGGAAGAGAGTGAGAAAGGAAGGAAGGAAAGGAGAAGGAAGGCATTAAGCAGCACTTGAATCCCAAGGTTTGGAACTGCCTACCCAAAACCCCATCTTTTCTTAGTGTCAGTATTCTCGGCAATGCTGACACATGGCTGCAATTCATGCAGTGCAATGATCCTGGAAGAAAGAATCATAGGCAGGGGAAGACGCTGTGAAGGTGGCTGTGAAGAGACTGTGCATCTTTGCAGTGATAACGCCCAAGGGGTGTGTGACCTAAAAAAAGGAGGTGGATTGGCCATACAAGCCAGTGCCCTGTTGCCCAGGAACTAGTGAATGATTTAAAGCAATATCAAAAGCCAATAGAAACAGGGCCAGTGACCCATACATAATGACCCCTGCTGGCCACATACTGATTTAGTTTTAAATGTATTGTTAGCTGTTGGGAGTATTGTAAGCTGCAGCCATGAGCCTTGTGTTTGCCACCCCTCGTTTAAAGGAAGGTTTCTGGTGTGTTGGACAAATCCTCTGTTACTTCGGAAGGAGCTGAATAAAATCTCAGAGGCTGAGCAGGAAAGGACGGACTGTGCCTTTACTCAGGGAAAAGGGCTTATTGGCATTAGAAGAGGTGTGTCTGAGTCAGCAAAGGCAGGATCGACATTTATTGCCATGACAGCATTTTGCTGTATTTGGCTCCTTTACTCCAACCTGTGACAGACTTTGTGGGGCTTGGTTCTGCGGTCGGCCCCATATCATTATTCTTATCACCTATCTTTTTGTCACCCATAGAGTTGATAAGCAAACTATCTATGACTTCATCTACCTCCTTGATGAAAATGTTGGCCTGTGCAGGGCCAAGCCCAGAGCCCAGCAGCAGACCACCAGTGACCTGGGTTGCCATCATTCCATTAATCAGTGTTGTCTGGGACAGCTCCCTCTGCCAGCCCCCTTTCCCCATGTTGCCCAAGAGGATTTCCATAATGAGAGACTCTGCCAAATGCTTAGTTGAAACCTAAATACCATGTCTTGAGCACAATGCCGTGGAAATAGCTGCTTACTACTTGCCTGTTGACTTTAATTGAATTTGGTGACTGTCTACAGCAGTCTCTTAACCTACCAAGCTAGTAACCATATCAAAATAAGGAAATTAGTTTAGTCTGGCATGACTTTTTCTTAACAAATTCAAAATTGCCTCAGAGTGACAATTGCTTTCCTTCCTAAGTGCTCAATTTGGATTTTATGTCTTATAATTCCTATCAGGGACTCATACCTCATCTCCTGCTATGTGCTTGAACTGGCAAGTGACTATATTTTCAAGAAATAAATATGGAATCCTAATTAATAAATTTTATAACTAATCACTGCTGTGGACTGTCACTGCTAATAATAACTTCATCAAAGGTCTGGCTGTTTTTCTTTGCTTGGGTTCCTGCTACAACAAAGCAGATTCAGCTTCCCAGGAAACAGTTGGCGGTTAGCCTGAAACTTCAAAGTCAGACATTAGCATAGACCTGCCCTGCATCCAAGGCCAAGCCCAAGCCCATCCTGACCCCTTGGCACTTCTCTAAGAGCTCCAGGAAGAGGCTCTGGGACCATCCTGGCGGTGCCACACTTCTGCACTTTTAAGGAGGCTGGCATACTTACATTAAGCAGAGACATTGTAATAGCTGATTTATCATATGTCTGGAGCATAGATGGGCAGACAAGTGGTGCCATAGTACATGGAGCACTGGGCCTGAACTCAGGAATACTCATCTTCATGAGTTCAAATCCAGCCTCAGACATTTTCTAGCTGTGTGATCCGGGACAAGTCACTTCACCCTGTTTGCCTCAGTTTCCTCATCTGTAAAATGAACTGGAGAAGAATAATGGCAAACCATTTCGGTGTCTGTGCCAAGAAAACCCCCAGTGGGGTCACAGAGAGTCAGACATGACTGAAAATGACTGAACAACAACCATAACAAAATGGAACACAGATAGTGGGTCCCAACTGCTATTTAAGCATCCTTATAGAAGTTTGAGTTACAAACAGACAGAATTCTACAGAGGGAAGGAAATGGCAAAAATTTACCCATCAGAGAACAGATAGAAGATGGGGAAGATCTGCATCAGGTAAAAAAATCAATCAAGTCGCTAAGCACACAGGATAAAGCTAGAATTGGCGGGCTGCCCACTCCTACTGGAGCTACACTTGGTTACTTGACGTGCTTATCTTAAGTAAGTAATAAAGCTGATAAATAATAGAGTAAGAAGGCAGAGCCAGAAATTTCCTTATTACTAACCAGTTAATCACCAGAGCTGAAACTGGATGTCAGTCAAATTCTGCAAGCTCCAGCTAGTCATGTAACTGGCTGTCTTAAGGAAATGATGGTCATAAGGCGAATTTAGAAAAATTCTCCTGTCACACCACCTTACTAGGACATGCCTAAGGCTTGCTCTCTGCTGGCAGAGTGTGTGAGCATCTAGGGTTGTCTGTACCTCAGAGTGAGATATCCATCTGTCCATCCATTCATCCAAATGTCTGTACATCTGTCTCTGCTTTCATCCATCTGTCTGTCCTCCCATCCATCTATCTATCTGTATGTCTGGAGAGAGATATCCATGATTGATGTACTCCTTTTATTATAAACTTAAGTGTTTGCTCTCTGCCTCGTAGCCAGCTTTCATTTTGACATGTAGCTTTCAAGAGTAAACTATTCTGTACTCCTCTTTGATCATGAAGGAGAAGTTGAGGCAGCTTTTATTTCAGATGCGTATCTGGCTGATTGAAGGGGCCAGCAGTGAGTGGATGTAGCAGACACCTCTGCCCCTCCTCCCCCAACCACAGAATATGGGGTTTATTTGAGTTGAAGGAGCTTTCCAGCCTTTTGTTGTGGACACACCTGCCTCTGAGGCTGATAACAATGAAATACGGATGGTCGAGCAACAGATTTATTAAATAACTCTCATTTCAGGGCCCTTCTCTGCCTTTTACTCTCCATGGGATGTTGTTTTCCCATGTTATAGGGTTTTTTTAACCTGGAGTCTGTGAGCTTTTTAAAAATAAATATCTTGACCACTGTATCTCAGTGTAATTGCTTTCCTTTGTACTCTGATATGTTTTATGCCTTTAAAAAACATGATTCTGAGGTGGGTCCATGGGCTTGGCCCAGGACACAATGAAGGCATGTCAGCTCCTGGAGGACGGGGACTCTTGTGTTTGACTCTTAGCACGATGCTTGGCACATGGCAGACACATTAATAAATGCTTTTTCATTCACTCACATGTTCATCTTTGTGCTGGGTGATGCAGGCTTAGTGAATGTTTGTTGACTTTTGCTTGAGCTCCCCTCAGCTGGTCCACAGCTTATTTGGAGAGGGGAAGCAGAAGTGGTTTCCTTGGTAACAGTAACCCAGCCCCTTTCTCTTTGTTATTGAACCACTCTGCTTATTACCGGATTACCAGCAATGGCTTTGACCCAGACTAGAGCCCTCAAATGAACCTTCTAAGCATGATTAGGGAGTGGGGGAGGGGTCCATTCCATGCAGTTTCAATGACCTCTATGTATGATGGGAACAGCTTCTGCCAGCCTGACCTTTGTAAAGATGGGAAGACTAAAACAGGTCAAAGGGTCTTCATCCCACCGACAGGGTGGACCCTAAATGCCCCATGGATTCTTAATGCCTTACAATTCACTCCATGATACCAGCTCCGGTCTAACATGTTCCACCCCCAGGAAAGAAACTTCTGCCAGACAGGATAGTCATTAAATTTCGGTTAAGGACCGTGTTTGCTTAACGAGTATTCTTTTTTAATAGAACTAGAGTTGGGATTTTCAATCCTTTGTAATTGTCAAGTTCAAGGCCCAAAGCTCAGGTTCTGAAAAGACTGCCCTTTTCCTAGGTGGAGATAAGGGAAGCAGTTGGTGCCATTACTGCTACCAACCAGGAAGAGGGAGTTTTTCAGAATGTGCATGCCCCGGAGGGCTGCTGCAAGTTCCCACCCTCACAAGAACCCATGGAGAACTCCAGCTGTTCACTTAAGAAGGAATCTAACCCAATGGTAAGGAGCGCCATCATGAGTCCAAGTCTGCGAAACTCTGAGTCGTAGAATCACGCATTAATTCACTGACACGGTTTGTTACTTGCCTCTTTCCCTGGGGTCTGCTCTCTGGCTTACCTAGCATTCTTCTTTAGTCCTAGGAATGCTAGAGCTTTATTCTAACCTGCAGAGTGCTTGGGTTGGACTTAGGTGATCTCCATAGAGATCATTTAAGTGGGATTCTGGACTGTGAGTGACCATGAACTACTTAGCCAGAAGTGAGGAGGGCCAGGATCACAAGGCTGGACTGTGGGCCCACGAGCAATCTTGGGAGCATTTTCTGAACTGAGCCAGGTGGCCATGAAGCAATTACAGTCAGAGCAAGGGTGGGCACAAAAAGCCTCCTTACTAATCCTTCCTTCAGCCCATTTGGCAGAATGAGCATCCAGTGTGGTGGAAGCCAAGGAAGGAGGGACCCCAGGGAACTTCCCTAGGGAGATAGCCAGATCCAAGCCAAAAGTCACCTTTCTATGCTAGCTCCATGCTAAGGGAAGGGAGCCGGCACTTACTAAGCACCTACTGTGTGGTAGGCACGTACTAAGCACTTTACAAATAGCTCATTTGATCTTCACAAGAACCCTGTGAAGTAGGTGCTATTACTATCCCCATTTCATAGGTGAGGAAACTGAGGCAAGCAGAGGTTAAGTGACTTGTTCAGGGTCACAAGCTAGGAAGTGCAAGACTGGATTTGAACTCAGGAAGATGAGTCTTTCTGACTCCAGGGCTCTATTCACTGTGGCACCACCTAGCTTTTCGTTGCAGTGAATATCTAGTCTTGTTTTTCACTTAAAGATCAGACTGTCAGAAACCCCTAGAGATAACCTAGCCATGCATGGGGTTCCAGAGAGTTTGTTACGGGCTGCATCTCCTTCAGCACCCAGGTACAGGAAAGGGACAAAGGGGGTTTACTGGGCTGCAGCTCTGGAGAGCAGATTACGTGGCTAGAAACAGAATGGAGTTGATGAAGAACATGAATTTTTCTACCCCTCTTTTCTGAGGCTCCAAATTTGTGGAGATTGAAGGCGTTCTATAAGGCTTTTATACCCATATCATTGTAATGACCCTTTTAAAATGTGGGGTGACTTCTTTTTCGTTTTAGGTAATATGTCAACTGAAAGGGGGCACTCAAATGCTGTGCATCAACACTTCAGGCAGCAGGGAGCTCAAAGCTGTTCACCTGGCTCCTCAGTATCAAGAACAAGACGATCACGTGCAGCCAGGTACAAAGTCAGTGCAAAAGCAGTGTTTTGTTTCTCTTATATCTGTCACTTGGGTGAGTCAGTGTGTTTGTGGGGAGGGAGAGAACCATGACGGGATGGCCGTGGTTGGGGGACAGTTCATCTGGGAGACTCAGAAAGCATCGATTACCGATGACCAGAAGGAGAAAGCCCTCTGTTAACCTTCCCCCAGGATAATCGGCGTATACTTTTGGATCAAGATGGCTGGTGCCCGTGGGTTTTTCTGTGTCTCATCTTAATTGTGGGCCAGAAGACCCATAGAAATGAAATTGGCAAATAGAATTTTCACAGGTTGGTCTAACCCAGTAAAAGATAATCAGAAATGGGAATGCAGTCACTGAAAGTTGGTCCTATGCTATGAAATTTTCTTCTTGATTCTATACTATCTATACTAGAAGCTGTTTTTAAAAATTCTGCCATCCCTAGCTGTCTCTTAATAGGCCCTTCCCGGCTTTACCAGCACAATGATAATTGACAGTGGCTTGCTTCTGCTGTTTGTGATAATGACCCAAAGTATTATGAGAAACTAATTGTGGTCTCTTGAGTGATCAAAGGTAAAACCCAGCACATTTTCAGTGTTGAAAGTTTGAGTTGCACATGTTGGTAACCTAGGTAGGAAAGAGAACACTTTACAACAGAGACTGCCCCCTTCCTTGGCCTCAACTGACAAAGTTTACCGGCCTGTCAGCAGTTTTAATGGGCTACTGTGGCTCCAGAGCAGTCCTGTCTCCTCCAGCCCAACATCTCCATCCTTCCCACCAAGGACAGCAGCATCTTTCACTTTATCAGAACAGATGAGGCCCAAGGAGAAAGTGTACAGGGATGTTGAAGGAATGCCCAGTTACCTCCTCATCAGCTCGCTGGGCGCCTGCTTCAGGCATATATAGCCCAGTACTGCAGTGCGGTGAGGCAGCCTGTGCTTGTGAAGGGCCCTTCCGCCATCTTCTTGGCTCCTTTATACCAGCTGACCAACACACCCAGCATCTAACCCCAGAGTCCCAGAGGAAGAAGCTGGGGGGTTCAATTTTGTTGGGCATGTAAGCATTACACAGTCTGGGTCCATGGGGTGTCATTATATAGGAACTACACCCCATTTAATGAGCCCTGGGATCCAACAATGATTTAGTGCAGGAGCTGGGGACTGGAGAAGAGAAGGTAGAAGAAGGAAGCAACCTGCACACGTGAAACCGGCCAGTCTTCTTTTCTGAGTGCTCAGACCCAGGGATGCATCTATTCACCAACCTGGTCAGAAATCTGTTGCCTCAGGAAGTTTTGCAAGACAAAGAAAATATAATAGGATTGATAAGTAGAGGATGAATTTTATATGCTGCAAATTCATTTAAATTATGTTTTCCTTGCAGATGTGCCTAAACCTTTGACTACTTTAGTTGGAAGATTTCTGCCAGTACCAGCTAAATTAAATCTTATCACACAAGTGAGTCATTGTTTTATTTTTTTTAAAGCCAAGCACTGCTATCTCTCTAAATTCAGACTGTTGCCATCAAAATAATTCAAGTTTTGAAGGATTAACCCTCTATTTTCAGTCAGCAAACACTTATTAAATGTTTCCTGTGTGTTAAAGATCATGGAAAATGCAAAAAAAAAAAAAGATATGAGGTGACCTTTTAAAAACCTTACAACTGGGCTAAAACTAATGTAGATGACACAGTGAGTGAACAATCTTTGTTAAATGGTGTCAGAAGGCCTTCCAAATCCTGTAGGAGTTCAAATAATGAGCTGATTAATATTGTTCACAAAAGGAGGAAAACCAAGCCTAGGAGGGAGGAGGAAAAGGAGCAAGAGGAGAAGGAGAAGGAAGAGGAGGAAGAGGAGGAGGAGGAAAAGGAGGAGGAAGAGGAAGAAGAGGAGGAAGAAGAGAGGAAAAAGGAGGAGGAAGAGGAAGAAGAGGAGGAGGAAGAGAAGAAGGAGGAAGAAGAGGAGGAGTTTGGTCTTGGATGGATGGGGGATATGGACTGAGGAAGAAGAGGGCGTGCTGAAGGAAGGGAACACACAGCATAAGTGAAGCCAGACGGTGTTGGGGGTCTTCAGAAAAGGTGTCATTTGTATGTAATAATTCTGTCCTTTGCCCCCATCCCAGGCCACCAGAGCGGTGGCCCTGAGGTGGGAGGAAATGTGGCTCTGACCCTTCCTGGCTATGTGTCTACAAGCCAGTCTTATCTGTAAAATGGGTGTGATGGAAATCCACAGCTGACTTCTCAGGGCAGTTAGGAAAGGTTTTCGTAAGCTCAGCATATCACCAGCATTTGGGTCTGATTCTCCATGGAGACCATACAGAGCCCAGGTGCTTAATGACTGTTTTGGTGATGGTCTGGAGAACGGATTGTCCTACAAAAACATGCATTTATTTTCTAAAAAGGTAAAGCCTCAAATTAGGACAATGTCAAGGACATAGCCCTGGCCCCTGGTGTCCTGAAATCAGCTACTCTGATGGGTTCCACCAGCCAACTCAATCCAAAAGCCGGTTTGGTGTCTTTTGTTTTTTTAAATAGAAATGAGTTGGTTGGGCCGGCTGCATTTGGGTGGTGTAAGCAGCAGCTCAGTCCATCAGGGATCGAGGTGTTTTTAAGTGGCTGCAGGGCAAATGCAGGTCCCAGAGGCGGAAGTGACAGGAGAATACTTGTAGCTCAACACTAGAGAGGGGAGGAAGTTTGTATATCCATTGACTGGGTGGTGAGAGAGTGAGCTTCCTATGCCTGGTGAGCCTAAGCAGAGTCTGGACTAACCACCCAAGAGTGTGGTAGAAGTGCCTCTTACTTGGAGAGACAAACTGCACTAAGTCATTACTCCCACCTCAGAGATTCTGTGATTCTCTGGGCCTGCCTGTGCTGTGAAAGGGGAGGGGGACATAGGACCGTTTGCTGGCTGACTGCCATTGGATAACATCTCCCTTGACAGGGTCATGACTTTACCTGGCCCCAGGGTCTACAAGATGGCTTCTGTAGATTTCTTCTAGTATAGCTTCAGGGCAGTGGGCAAAGTGGGGGAAAGAAGCCTTATAAAAGCTCACACTGAAAAGTAAAACGAAGACCCCTTTGTACAGTGGAGGTGGCCAAGTCAGGGGCTTCCTTGAGGAAAGGGAGGCAAACAGGGTTAAGTGACTTGCCCAGGGTCACACTGCTAGTAAGTGTCAGGCTAGATTTGAACTTGGGTCTTCTTTTTTAAAATTCAATTTTATTTTATATTCAGTTCCAAATTCTCTCCCTCCTCCTCCTCCTCCTCCACTGTGAAGGCAAGAAAAACAGAATCCATTACAAATATGTATAGTCATACAAAAAAATTCCTGCATTAGCCCTGTCTAAGGAGAGGGGAGAGAGAGAGAGAGAGAGAGAGAGAGAGAGAGAGAGGAGAGAGAGAGAGAGACAGAGAGAGACAGAGACAGAGAGAGACAGAGACAGAGAGACAGAGAGAGAGAGACAGAGAGAGAGAGAGAGAGACAGAGAGACAGAGAGACAGAGAGAGAGACAGAGAGACAGAGAGACAGAGAGAGACAGAGAGAGGAGAAAGAGAGAGACAGAGAGAGACAGAGAGAGACAGAGAGAGGAGAGACAGAGACAAAGATGGACAGAGACAGAGAGAGAGGGGAGAGATAGAGAGAGACAGAAACAGAGAAGAGAGAGAGGGAGAGGGAGAGAGAGAGACAGAGAGAGACAGAGACAGAGAGACAGAGACAGAGACAAAGATGGAGAGAGACAGAGACAGAGAAAGAGAGACAGAAACAGAGAAGAGAGAGAAGAAGAGGGAGAGAGAGAAGAGAGAGAGAGAGGAGAAAGAGACAGAGAGACAGAGACAGAGACAAAGATGGAGAGAGACAGAGACAGAGAAAGAGAGACAGAAACAGAGAAGAGAGAGAAGAAGAGGGAGAGAGAGAAGAGAGAGAGAGAGGAGAAAGAGACAGAGACAGAGACAGAGAGAGAGGGGAGAGACAGAAACAGAGAAGAGAGAGAGGGAGAGGGAGAGAGAGAGAGATCTGCTTCTATGTGCACTCAGGGTTCATCAGTTCTCTGTCCAATGAGAGCACTTTTCATCATGAATCCTTTGGAATTGTCTTGGATCCGAGTCGCCAAGACTTTCAGTGTTGTCTTCCGTGTATATTGTTCTCCTGGTTCTTTTCACCTCACTTTGCATCAGCTTGCCCAAGCCTTTCCAGTTTTCTTCTGAGCCCATCCCCCTCGTCATTTCTTACAGCACAATCATATCCTCCAGCTTGTTCATCCATTCCCAGCTGATGGGCGCTCCCTTGGTCTCTAATTGTTCGTGCACCACAAGAAGAGTTGCTGTAAACATTTCTGTATACGTGGATCCTTTTCCTTCTCCTTTGATCTCTGGGACACAGACCACATAGTGGCATTGCTGGGTCAGAGAGTGTGCAGAGCGCTTTTTTGGTCATAATTTGGTCATGATTCCAAAGCGCTTTCCAGAATGGCTGGACTATTGGGGCAGCTAGGTGGCGTAGTAGACAGAGCAGCGACCCTGGATTCAGAAGGACCTGAGTTCAAATCCGGCCTCAGACACATAACACTTACTAGCTGTGTGACCCTGGGCAAGTCACTTAACCCCCACTGCCCAACCAAAAAACAAACAAACAGAATGGCTGGACTAGTTCGCAGCTCCACCAACATTGCCTTGTGTTATTGTTCAGTCATTTTCAATTGTGCTCGATTCTTCATGACCCCATTTGGGGTTTTCTTGGCAGAGGTACTGGAGTGGCTTACCGTTTCCTTCTCCCATTCATTTTACAGATGAGGAAACTGAGGCAATAGGTGAGTTGAGTGACTTGCCTAGAGTCACGCAGCTAGTATGTGTCTGAGGCTGGATGTGAACTCAGGTCTCCCTGACTCCAGGCCTGGCATTCTATTCACTGTACCACCTAGCTGCCCCAAGAGCACATTAGTGTACCTATTTTTCCCCATCCCCTCTAGAAATGTCCCATTTTTGTCATTGTAGCCAATCTGATGGGTGTGAGGTGATACCTCAGAGTTGTTTTAATTTGCATTTCTCTAATTATTAGTGATTTAAACATTTTCTCATATGGTTATTAAGGGCTTAGATTTCTTCCTTTGAAAACTGCCTAATCATATCCTTTGAGCATTTATCAATGGGAGAATGGCTCTTTTTCTTGTAAATTTTACTCACTACCTTATATTTCTTAGAAATGAGACCCTGATCAGAGAAACATGCTGCAAGGATTTCTCCCCCAATTTCCTATTTTCCTTCTAATTTTAGCTACATTGGTTTTGTTTGTGCAAAAACTTTCAAATTTTATTTAATCAAAATTATCCATTTTTCCTCTCTAAGTTTTGTCATGATCTGTTCCCCATCATAGTACATCTGACTGATAATTTCTTCCATGTTCCTCCAGTTTTTCTTATGATATCACCCTTTGTGTCTGAATCATGAACCCATTGGGAGCTTCCCTTGGTATGCAGTGTGAGATGCTGCTCTATACCTAGTTTCTGCCAGACTACTTTCCAGTTTTCCCAACAGTTTTTATTTAAGAGTGAGTTCCTGCTACAGCAGCTGGGATCTTTGGGTTTATCAAACACAGATGTTTGTGCTCATTTGCCTTCAATATATTGTGCACCTGATCTGTTCCACTGACCCTAACCCAGTATCTGATTGTTCTGATGATTCCACCCTTCTTGTACGGTTTGAGATTGGCTACTTGTAGGCCTCTTTCCTTCCCATTTTTTCCTCATTGATTCCCTTGATGTTCTTGACTTTTTGTTTCTCTAGGTGAATTTTGTTATTATTTTTTTCTGGCCCTATAAAAGGAATCCTTTGGTAGTTTGATATGACACTGAATGAGCAAGTCGATTTCAATGCGTTTGTCATTGTTATTATAGTCACCTGCCATCCAATGATCTAGATCGGTTTTCATTTGTGTGAAGTGTTTTGCAACTATGCTCATCTTCGTGTTTGTGCCTTGCCAGGTAGACCCCGAAGAGTCTGTAGTTATTTTAAATGAACTTTCTTTTTCTGTCTCTTCTTGCTGGGTTGTGTTGGTAATATACAGAAATGCTGATAACTTCTGGGGGTTATTTAAATGCTGCCAATTTGCTGAGTTGTTCATCATTCCCATTATTTTTTAGTTGACTCTGTAGGCTTCTCTAAGTAAACCATCTTATAATCTGCAAAAAGTTAGTTTCTTCTTCGCCTATGCTTATTCCTGCAGCTGATTTTTCTTGTCTTATTGCTATAGCTAGCATTTTGAGTGCAATATTAATAGTTAGGGTGATAATGGAGATCCTTCTAGCTTATCTTCATTACGGATAATGCCTGGTCTTGGTTTTAGATAGGTACTACTTATTTTAAGGAAAGCTCCACTTATTTCTATGCTTTCTAGTATTTTTTTTAGCAGGAATGGGTGTTATATTTTGTCAAAAGCCTTTTCTATTGCAATAATCCAGTGATATGGTTGTTTTTGTTATTAATAGAGTCAATTATGCTGATGGTTTTCCTAATATTGAACCAACCCTGCTTTCCTGGTATAAATCCTGGTTGGTCATAGTGAATGTTCTTTGTGACATATTGCTGTCCTCTCCTTGCTAGTATTTTATTTAATTATTTTTTGCATCAATATTCATTGGGAAATTTTCTATAGTTTTCTTTTTCTATTTTGACTCCTCAATTTAAATGTCAAAACCATACTTCTGTCAGAAGAAATTTGGTAGGACTCTTTTATACCTATTTTTAAACAGTTTATATAGTATTAGAATTAATTGTTCTTTAAATGTTTAATAGAATTTACTTGTGAATCCAACTAATCTTTGGGAGACTTTTTCCTTTGGAAATTCATTTATGACTTAATCAGTTTTTTTTTCTAAGATAAGGCTATTTAAACACTCCTGTTTCCTGTTATGATAATCTGGACAGTTTATATTTTTGTAAATATTTATCCATTTCCTTTACATTGTCAGTTTTATTAGCATTAAGTTGGGTAGAATTGCTCCTAATAGTTGTTTTGATTTCTTCTTCATTAGCTGTGAATTTACATTTTTCATTTTGAATATTGGTGATTTGATTTTTTTTCTTTCTTTTTTTAAAATCAAATTATTTTTGCTTTTGTTTTGCCTGAAATAATTTCCTCCTCTGCCTTTTTTACTTTCACTGAAGCATCATAGATTCTGCTTCGGCCTGTCATTTTAACTGTATGTGTGTATTTTTATTTCAAGTGTGTTCTTTATAAACAACATTTTGTTGGATTCTGGTTTCTAAGCCATTCTGCTATCTACTTCTGTTTCATGAGTGACTTCATCTCATTCACATTCACCGTTATGATTGTTAACTTTGCATTTTCCTCCATATTTTTCCTTCTCTATTTTCCCTGTCCCCTCTTCAAGAGTCTGTTTTGTTTCTGACCATTGGCTTCCTTAGTCTATACTCCATCTTATCTCCTATCCCTGTTTCTTTTAACCCCTTTCCCTCCTACTTCCCTTTGCAACCACATCCAGTAGAATTCCGTCTTTTGTGTTGTTCTTGAGGATGAAGCTTTCCATCCCTCCTGGACTGATCCCCCTGGGAAATGTTAAGTCATGGGATCCTTCCTCTGAACCCTTGAACCTGCTTCTCCAAAGTCTGGGGTGTGTCTGCCTCTTCCTGGTTTCCTTTCTTCCATCACAAATTCTAACACGTAGGGGCAGCTAGGTGGCGCAGTGGATAGAGCACCGGCCCTGAAATCAGGAGGACCTGAGTTCCAATCTGGCCTCAGACACTTGACACTTACTAGCTGTGTGACCCTGGGCAAGTCACTTAATCCCAATTGCCTAAAAAAAAAATTCTAGCATGTAGGGGTCATTTCCCCCCAAAGTTCTCGTCACTAGTACCTAGTAACTAGCTCCTCTGTGGACGAAAATCAGGCCTAGAAAAGCGATTGCCTCCATTGCTCCCTCCACCTTTTCACATCCAGAGAAAAAAAGCCGTCCCCTGCATCACTGTCTATATTGTTTCTGCAAAGAAGAGGGAGCAGATTTCAGGGTCCAACTTTTGTTTTTCACACAGAACTAAGTTGGGGGGAAAAGTCTCTATAAGAGAAGCAAAGATTGCATGTTAAAATGGACCTTCCAGCCAATTGTCATCACCATGAAACACTTAGCATCGGGTCCTCTGTCATATTAAACAAAGGAAGTAAATGGCTCCTTAGTAAGGCAAGAGGAAGGTGTGACATTGGTCACTTTGTCTCAAATGAAGGGAGAGGTGTTTGCTGTTGCTGGTTCATTTTTTTCTTGTGGAAAGTCATTGGCTGAAGCTTTGCTATAATTTCCTGCCAAGAGCTCCAATTGCACTCCAGGATGTCAGGCCCTGTGAGGGTGTTCAGGTAATCTTGAGAGAAGGGGAAAGAGGAGAGGGCACAGAAAAGATAGAAGAAAAGGGAGAAGCATAAGAATCTATTTGGAGCCTATGCAAATGCTTCTTAAATACCCTCAGGTTTTAATTATTTATGTTTATGAAGAAAATGGGTGATGTGGATAATGAAAATCAACAAATAATTCAAGGCTGGCTTTTAGCTAATGTTTTTGACTGTACTCCCCAAATCCTTTGATCAGAGCTACTCATAAAAAAAGAGAACTAATATACATTTTATTTCATTCTCTCCTTGGGTACTGACTAACCAGCAATGTAATTGCAAAGGAAGAAGTAAAGAAAAAACTGGCTCATTTGTCCATGAACGTAGGAGAATTAAATGAAAAACATTTGTTGGATTGAAAAAAGTTCTATTTGGAAAAGTCTTGCCAGTGTAGAGGTTTCAATATGAAGACTTGCCAAAATGCTAAGAATTGTACATATTTTGGGCCTATTTACTGGAGCAAATTTCCATCCATTCCTCTCCTATCAAGGTCACAGCCAAAGCATTAAATAAATACTCTGTGTATGGGGGAGGGGAGGGCAGACAGTTGATTTAATTCTATCAGAAATAGATTGTGGTATTTTCTATGAAAAGAGGTTGCTTCTAAAACTCATTTTTCTTGTGGTTCAGATAATTTGAATACGTTGACTACGTTCCCTCAAACCTATCGATTCAAACCCAAACCTTGACTTGTTGCGAGCCCTACAGCCCAGGGCGCCGATGCTAGCGCTGGGGACTCGGGAAGCACCCCAATGTGCAGAAAGGCACTGTGGGTCTGAAGGGTGCCAAATCATTGTTAAGGCAGGGAGTGAACATAAACTTCTGGAAAAATGAATAGGTTTCACCCAGAGGCTCGCTGACGGGCATTCCTTGAAATGAACATTTTAATTTTTAAAATTGTCGCCTTTCGTTTTGAACAGCTTGATAACGGCACCTTCTCATCTGTAGTTAACGGAACCACCTTTCCTTCAGGACCCAGTCTTCAAGAGCCAGCAAAAATAACACTAGCTGGGTAAGGATTTAAAGAAATAATAGAAAGTCATTTTAGTATAAGAGTACGTGGTGCAGCTCTGTGACAGTGGGAAACACACCTGGTGGCTGGGCCTCTGAGACTTGGCTCGGGCGAGCAGATGTGGCTGGAAACGGTGACGGGTGGGCGTGACCTGTCTTTGTTCCACACTAGTTGTCTGTCATTGTCATTATCGTGTGCATTTGCGCTGTCCGTAGTGCTCGCTTTTTGATTTTATTTTAGCTCACATTGAGCCCCAGTTCATGCAGGAACCGGCAGCTTCTCTCCTCAGCCACAAGCAGGCCTGATTCCTGGAGGATGCCCTTAGAATGCCTTTTCTGCTCCAGTAGCTCACGATCACCCACTGCGTGGCAGTGGACAGGCTACATTATCAGTACTCATCACATAACTGTGACATCCTCTTGTCATGTGTAGATAAGGTTCATAGATGTCACTAATAAATAACACTAAACCTGAAGCCTACTGGAGGGTGCTTGCCAAGGCCTGGTTCACATGTGCCCTCCCCACCTGCAGAGCAGTCTGGGCCGACCTGTCACTTCCCTGGGACCTTGAGCTGGAGGCTAAGCGTTCTCCATAAGCACGCATCCCATGCTGTCCTAATTGGCCCATACACACAAATGTGGGTGCGCAGGCCCAGGGCCTGTAAGGGGGCATTGGGCAGCGGGGTCAGGTCGCTGCCTCTGTCCTAAGAGGCCTCTGCCCCTGGGGCATGGGCAAGTGTGAGGAGAAGTGGTTTCAGACACAGATGTCAGGCGCAGTTGGAGTGATTCCTTCACTGGGGTCGCTGCTGAGACCCAGAACAGAGTGACAGTCATGAAGGTTTGGGACAGTTCTCTCCCTTTGCCTGATGCGGCTCAGCAGAAGGTCCTTTAGGTTGTGTTTAGTTGGCTGGTGACATCCTGTCAGAGAATCGAATGATCCCCATTGGCAGTTATCCTCACTTGATGCTGTGGGTGGGGGATGGGCAGAACACAACGATCCCAGTAGCCACATGGATGGCGAGAGCATGTCTGAGCACCCAGCTGTTGCTTGGGTTTTATAAATGAAGGCAGCAGGAAGGCTCTTTTCTGCTCCTCCGACTTCAGCTGACAGTGCCATCTCACCATATGTTGTCGAGCGTCTAGCACAACGTTGACTTTTTAACACTGTCCTCTCAAAATCAGTGCGGCTTCACACCACGCTCACTAGGTGTGAGTGGTGTGCTTCTGGGACACAGGCACAGTCGTCCGCACGGCTCAGAAGTGTTTGTGTGGAATGTCAACCTGCATCCCGTTTTACTTTGTCAACTCTTGTGTCTCGAATGTGCCTCTGCAGTAACTGTGCAGATCACAGGAGGTTTCTTTCCTAACCGATGTCTCAGCAGTTGCATGATACGGACTCTTTTTCTTTTTGGTTTTGTTGCAGACAGCTGCTTGATTCTGAGGTTGTTTTCCCTGAAATAGTCCAATGACAATTTCTCCCCGGTGTCTACTAATGCCGATGATATGCTGGAATACCATCCTTGTCACCTGCCCACTATTATTGTCAGGGTTTGTAAATGGGAAGCTGACTTAGGAAGCTGTTGGAGAATAAGTTAATTATGCTTCAGTTTTCCACCCTATGTTTGATTCAATGTATCCATTTGCCTCTTCAATGAGTTCTACTTACAGAGAGCCTTCTCTGACGCCCAGGTTGGCCCTGGAAGCCAGACTGGTTGTGGGGACGTCAGAGGAGCAGCCGTCTCAGCCCAACCTGATCTAAAAGGTGGCTTAGAAGCAGGTCAGCTCAGGCCCAGCACAATGACCTGGTCTAACTTTCTTTACAGAGAAGGAATGAGCACAGTGACTGATAAGGCGGTGCTCCACTTCTCACCAAAGTAGCTGTCTTGTTCCTTACCTTAGTAGTGAAAGTTTGACCTCCCAGACAGTCAGAGTGGCTGGACATCCTCGGATCTCTTGTCAGGCAGCGACTTGAATTCTGGCCCTTTTTCCTTTCTATACTCGGTAAGAGGGTGATGACGTGCGTTGCTAGTTTGGGGCCAACTTCTTTGAAAACTTTTTTTCCGTAAAAGCATAGACAGATTTGACTGTGGGTGGGACACTTCAGTTGTGATTCTGTCCAGAAGCATGGCTTGTATGCAGTGAGGTGTCATATTCCCTCTGACTTCCCAGATATCTGTCCATCAGTCATCAATTACTGTTAGATTCCCAAAGCCTGAGGGCTCTTCCAAATCCGAACATTGCTGACCGTAAGAGTCTAATTCAACAAGCATTTATTAAGTGCCCTTAGTGTGCTAGGCCTTGAGGACAGAGCCCCTGCCCTCCCTCAAAGAATTTGCATTCTAATGGGAGAAGGGAGAAGGCACAACATTTTAGGATGTCTTTTTTTTATTATTATTATTTTTGGTGAGGCAATCAGGGATAAGTGACTTGCCCAGGGTCACACAGCTAGTAAGTGTTATGTGTCTGAGGCCAGATTTGAACTCAGGTCCTCCTGACTCCAGGGCTGGTGCTCTATCCACTCTGCCACCTAGCTGCCCCGCACAGCATTTTAAATAGATAAATAAATACAGAATAAATCCAAAGTAATGTTGTGGACCCCTGTTAGAATCAGGAGGCAGCATGAGCTGAGCCTTGAGGAAACCTGGAGGTTCCCAGAGGCTGCGGCAGGGAGTGGGGTCGGGGAGACAGGAGATGGGGGCAGAGTATGGGACATCAGCCTGGAGACACAGGCCGGAGGTGGGTTGTGAAGGACACCACTGATGCCTGTTGGGCAGGGGAGTAGCATGCTCAGACCTGGGCATAATAGGAATAGCATGTGGATGGGTGTAGGGGGGATGAACTGGAAGAGAAAGAGCCTTCAGGGAGCAGGGGACCAGTCATGAAGCTCCTACAGCAGTTACTGATGAGAGGTGATGAGAGACTGAGTTAGGGTCATAGATTTAGAGCTGTAAGGGGCCCTGGAGGCTGAGAGCAGTTAAGTGACTTGCCCAGGTTCCCTCTGGTACTAAGTGGATGGGGCAGGATTTGAACTGAGGTCTTCTGACTTCCAAGCTCAGCTAGGGCAGTGTCTGTGGAAGAGGAGAGAATGGAGGAGAGAGGCAAGAGATGTGGCAAAGGTAGCTTTACCAAGACTTGGCAACTGATTAAAATAAGGGAGGAGGGGGAATGAGAAAAGGATAGTTGAGATTGTGAACTTGGGTGAGTAGAAAGATGCCCATGATAGAAACAAGACAGGAGAAGGGACAGGTTCTGCGGGATGCCTGGAGCACCTGGGATGCTTCTGGGAATGTAGGTGGGATGCCGGCAGGCAGCTGGTGATCAGGAGGGAGGAAAGGGCTGCCCACCTAAGGAGACTGGGCGGCCCCCTGCATGGAGGGTGAGTAGTCCAGCCCCGGGCGTGACACTCTTCCACTAGATTTCATTAAACCAGTGTGGTAGGAATCCACGTTCATTCAGTCAATCAACGAGCATTTATGAGGCACCTTCTAGGGGCCGCACAGTTGTGTTGGCCCTCGGCCATACAAAGACACAGAAGAAACATCCCCTGCCCTTGGGAAGGCTGACTTCTCCCAAGGGCCGGAAGCAGAGCACAGTGGCTGTGTCCGCTGTGTTTGCTGTAGGCATCCCCTTGGTGCCATTAATTCTGTTTGATTTGTTTACATTTTTAAAAGTAAGTTTTATGGATGCCTTTTGTTTCTGCATTGCAGTCATTCCTGTAACTATCCCCCCCATCCAGTTCAGCCCTTCCTCCCTTGCTATAAAAAAGTTGAGCAAAGACCCCCAAAGAATGTCCGTAGCTGACAATGTCTGCCCCATTCTGCCCTGGTTGCCCCCCGCCCCTCTGCTGGGACAGGCACCTTTCATTGTCCCTCTTGGTCTCAGTTGTTCATGTATTTGGCACCTGGCTTCCTCCAGGGACCATCCCTGTTCATTCTCACCCACCTCGATTCCTTGGTGCCATTACCCCACCTGATAGGCCCTTCCCTTCCCCCAGCGTAAGCCTGTGCTTATGTCCAGACTGTCTGCAGGCAATCTTTGCCTACTCCAGTCCAAAGAGCTACCCTATTTTGAAAGGCCTGGAGCCCTTGCCGCTGGCTGCCTTGGGTTGTTCTTCAGCTGATCCTGGGCATTGGCCAGTCCTGTTACAAGCTCTGCCACCTCCAGGGCCGGTTTTCTACATCTCCTGTCCCTCCTCCCTGGCTCTAAGCTGAGTGCTGTGGGTGAGTAACAGTCATTTAATAAATGACAGTGGATTTGATTTAGTGATACTGTAGATGTCCACTGGACTTAATTCCCTCTTCTCAGGGTACCACCATTACACGTGCCTGAGCAGGAGCAGAAAGTTCTCCATGCTGTTCTTGCCTGGAAGGGAAAAGACATCATTATTCCCTCACTTAGAGATTGCAGGATCCCTGTACCCAGGAATGCGTGGAAAACCTTCCCAGGAGGCAGGCTGGGGAAGAATTTAGAGAAGAGCAGCAACAGTGGCGGGCACTCTGGTGCCGCCTCCAGGCACACAGAACCAGAACAGGGCCAGAGGCCCCGGCTCAAAGTGCTGCCACTGAAGACCCTGGCCCCAGCACCCTCCCCCCCACCCCCAAAGCAAGTGTCGGCCTCTCAAGGGCACTCATTTTGTGGCTGAAGGTTGATAGGTGCTTGGGGATTGGGGAGGGGCGGGATAGCCTGGCCACCTTCCCCAGGAGACCAGAATACTGTCACCTTTCTATACTTAGGTGAAAGAAATGAACCAAGTAAACACAAAAGCACTCATTGATTTAAATTTCTGGGCCGTGATTTTAAATGGAGGCCTCTCCGGGAGTGATGCCCAGTGGGAAAAGGAGATCAGCACTGAACAGCAGCTAACAGCCTTGCTTGGAAACTGGGGACATAGCTCTTGGTAGGAAGGTACCAGAGAACTAAGGAGGTATGGGCAGCTTGAACTGGGGGGAAGCCATCAGCCGACCCGAGGACAAAAAAGTGGAGCTGATTTGGATCGAGAATCTGGGGTCTTGTGCCTTGGACCTGTTGAGTGGCATTCTGGTGAAGACAGTGAAATCCTTCATAGGAGAAGGTTGGGGATTACCACAGAAACCAATTATATTTGAAATAAAGCTGTAGCTTTCTCCATCCAAGTTCAAGTTCACAGACCCCAGAGATCTGAAAATGGACCCCCATTAAGAACCCCTGATCTAGAGAGGTGAATTAAAAGGTGGGCCATGAGTGCCCTTGGAAGAAAAATGGAGAGCCATAGCTAGTCCCCCCCCCTTCCCCAGGGGGCTGACTTGCAGCAAGAACAGAGGGATTGGCATGCTAATGACAACTAAATGAACATGGAAAGAAGTCCATTGGTCTCATAGAGAGATGCCAATTGGGGAATTGTATAACAACTGAAGAACATGGCGCCCCAGCGTGGAAGCACCTACAACATCAGCCAACTGGACAATTTTTACAAAGTGATGCCTCTCTTTATCCTCAGTACACACATACACACACACACACACACACACACACACACACACACTCCACTGTCATTTTGGTTCATTTTAGCCAACATTTATTAAGCACCTACTGTGTACAAAGCCCTGGGTTAGGAGATGTAGATACAAAAACGTCAGACATTCACAGCTTCTGTATTAGGAATATACTGAATTCCCACCGTTTACTTAGTAAACATCTGTTCTCTCCTTTTTGAAAAATTTGGTTGCTACTAAGTGCTGAACACCTCACCTCAAGATTTCCACAGTTAAAGGTATGAATCAGTAGAGAAGGTTCCTGGGTTAATGCCCACGCTTGAGTCAGACTCAGCTCTGGATGCCTTTTCTCTCAGGTCTCCTTCAGTCCCTGGTCCAGGTGTGGGCATAGGCCCACTCCTTCTCACAGACACTTCCACCTTCTCCTGTTACCTCGGAGATCCAGCAATGTCTTATCCTTCCAGTGTTGGACCAGCCAGATAGACCACCCTAGCCAGAGATTGGTAGGAGCTTTCTCTCCCCTCTCTCAGGGAGCTCAGTGCCTGGCTGGCCAACTTCCTTTCTCTTCCCATTCCTGCCTTTCTACATGCTGAGACCTCCTCAAAGCCTCTGGCAGCTCCCTTGCATGAGCCCCCAAGTCATCACTGCCTGCCCATGAGTGTTGTGTCCTGATTATCCAGAACACTGGCATTCCTCTATCTGACCACAGCCCCCTCTCCTTCCACCACTTCCATGGTCATCTTGCCTTCCAGTGCCTCCATCCCTCCCTTCAGCCTCTTGACCGTGTCATTAACCAGTTCATCGTTACATTGGCCTGTACTTGTGAATCCCTTGCTCTTCTCTGCCTCCCTTTCCTGTCCTCAGCCCTGAATTGTTCTGGCCATCAACTTCTCCTTACCACTGCCAAACAGCCCTTGGAGGTAGTCGCACAGCTATGACTCCTGCCACCCCACCCCCACTCCTCCTGTCCTGCCCCGGATCTCTTCCAAACCTCCTCCAGGGGCTTCCCTCTCAGAAATTAGCTGAACTTGTGCTCTCCAAAAAAATCCGAGGCCAGTCTTCCTTCTCCACACTACTACACCTTGTGTCCCCTCAATGTCATCCACACTCTTTTCTTCTTTGCCCCAGCTTCAGAGGGTCCAGTGAGGCCAGCCCCTTCCCTGGTGCACTTTGTCCGACCCCTTCCTCGTTGGCCTTCTGTCACCACTGGCTCCTTCCCGTCTGCCTACAAATGTGCCCAGATCCGGCCCTGCCCTGCCCCACCAACATCTGGGAACCCCCTCCCTCTAACAGCCAAACGTCACTTCTTTCCCTTCCCTTCACTTTTCAGTTGCTTGCAGTCTTTGAGCCAGGTCTGTTCTATCCTTCTTGCCTCTCTGTGACCTCCTGGTTTTCCTCTTACACATCTAACCAGGCCTTTTCATTCCCCTTTGTAGGATCATAATCCATTTTCTGTCCCTATAGTGGGGGTCCATCCCAGGACACACGCGCTCTTTCTTTCTTTCTCTGTCTCTCTCTGTCTCTGACTCTCTCTGTCTTCCTCTTTCCCTCCCTCCCTTCCTCTTTCTTTCTCTCCCTTCCTTTCTCTCTTCTCTTTCACTCTTACTTTCTCCTCCCCCTCTTCTCTCTTTCTCTGCCACCTTGTCTCTGTCTCTAATCTGTTCCATTGGATTAAACTGTCATCTTTATTGCAGACGACCCCCACATCTACCTCTTGAACCTTCATTTCTTTCCTGAGCTCCAGACCCACCTCACCCACTCACACGTGGGTGACATTTCCATCTGAAGTCCTATAGGCATCTCTAACTCAACATGTCCAAAGCAGAGTTCAACACCTTTGAATTGCTCATTGTTATCTTTGGTTTTCCATTACACCCATTTCTGAATATATCTCTCAGCGTCCTTTCTCCAGTCTCCTTTAACCAAGAATAACCAAGAAAGGAAAAAAGTGATTCTCCCAAATTAACCCACCCATCAGCTGAGTCTGACAGTGGACATGGTGTCTCCTCCATGGTGGTCCTCCTCTGCAAAGGCAGGAGGCGGATGTATTTTCTTATCTCTTCTCCGGGGCCATGCTTGGAATTAGAACGAAGGACTCATTATCTTTGGCCCTAAACCCTCTCCTCCTGATTTATCCCATCCAGTCATCTGTCCCTCTTTCCTCTCTCACCCCTCCCCACACATATTATGGGTCACCAAGTCTTGTCAGTTGTTCTTTCCCAACATTTCTCCTCCTTCTCTAACGGTGCCCCCTTCCTGGTGCAGGCTTTCATCACCTCTTGCTTTGATGATCACAGTGACAGCTGGTAGGTCGGCCTCCCTTGAGCCTCTCCCCACTCCGGTCCATCCTCCACTCAGCTGCCAATGACATTCCTAGAACGCAGGTCTGACCACACCACTCTCTTACACAGGAAGCTTCGGGGGCTCCCAGGATAAAAATATGCCAACTCCTCTATTCGATATTCAAAGCCCTTCACTACTCAGCTCCAGCCTGTCCTTCCACACGGATGTTCTCCCTTACAAATGCAACCCTGCAGCCAAACGCCTCCATGATATTCCCTCTTCATAACACAGCATCTTCGGCCTTTGCATGGCTAGATCCCCAAGCCCACCCACCCTGCCCCAGCCATGCCTGGAATGCACTTCCTCCTCAATCCCTGGTTTCTTCCTGATTCCACCAGTAATTACTGCTTGCCCCTCCCCCTCCAAATTACTTTGTTTATTTTGAATTTACTTATTTGCGTATGTATTGTTTTCTACCAATAGAATATAAGCTCTCTGAGGACAGAAAAGGTTCCTTTTTTATCTTTGTGTGCCCAGCACCTAGTATAGTATCAGGTACACACTAGGTGCTTAATAAATGCTTATTAAATTTACTTGAATATGTTACCTTGACGGACATGAGGAAAGATCCACAATGATCACATTATAGAGTGCTTGCGATATGCTTTGTTAGCATGGGTCATATTAAAAGTACAAATCATTGGCAGAAAAATAATCGTTTTATTAACTTCCTTCAATTTATTTGGTCTCCAGAGAAACACAAAAGAGGGTTTTTATTACCCTAGAACACAAAATGAATACAGAAATGTCCAGGCACCTAGAATAGAGGTGTGAACAAAAGCATTTGATGGCATTAATTTGTGAATACTTCCTTAAGAATGGGAGCGATGAGTCCACCACTTGGCCACAACCCACTAAATTTCCAGTCCACTCTTTCCATCACAGTGTTTTTAAATCACTCCCACTCTCCTTTTCTAAGATTAGATTTTGTGATCAGACACCTACCAATAACTTTATTCGCTGCTGTTGTGAATTTCCATATTGGTTACCACAAAGACAAAACACCAGAAGTTTAATGACTTCTCTCTTTTTTTTTTTAAAGGCTAACCATCTGAATACATTTTCTTTTTTAATCCTTGTAGAGTAACTCTTAGTTCATGGGACTCAAAGTCTAAAAAGCCATGTAACTGTACCAAGTCCCAGTGTCTGAAATTGTAAGTAATCAAAAATCCTTCATTATTAAATATGAAATAAGGTTGTTTAGAAATCAGTAAATGGAGAAAAGTCCAGACAATGCCAGGTTGGCAAGGAGTGTACATGTGGTGATGTTTGGCAGTGGGGCTGATGTGCACCAGGGGGCTTTGAATGTTCAGTGGGAACTGGAGACACACTTGAGGTGTGAACAAATCTTTGACTTTGTCATTTGATGCATGGATGGAATCACTTGCATGGCAGGGGAGAAGCCTTCCTCTGCCCTTCGTTTGCATTTGCATTGAGCATTCATTAACCCCTCGGATATGCTGGACTGGATGTTGGCACATTGCTGAACATTAGCTATTAAAACATCTCCACACACATCATCTGTTTTATGGAAACTTTGTGGCATGGTTTATTATAGGCATGGACCTTCTTAGAAAACGTGTGGACATTTTTGTCTTGGCCACCTAGGGCTGCCAGCTGTGGAGTCTGGGTAAGCAGAGGCAGGACAGTATGCCTACTTAGACACATAGATATCAGCCAGAAGGGGAGAGAGAGAGGGTAGCAGAAATAGGAAGTGCGCCTGGAATACTGCTATAAACAGTGCTACACCATGCGGGACTTGTTTCTGTTGCCTGCCCAGCCCTGCCCTGCCCTGCCCTGCCCTGTCCTACTCTGCCCTCAACTCTTTCCATGGGCAGCCTCCTGTCTTTAGCTTGGGACTGAAAGGCCCCAGTGGCTAGCAACCCTGACCATGTCTCTGCGTAATTTTTCCACTGCAGAGCTCCTTGAGAAGTCAAAGGGAGCTACTTGGTACAACAGTAAGGTGTGGGTCAGAGAGAGCAAGGGAACAAGGGGTGTTGGATTGGGCCAAAAGTGAGTTGACCATCTTTATTTTCCTAAATCCCAAGACCCACAAGGCATTGTTAACTAAGCTTTTACTAGTTAAAATGGAACTAACAACAAGGCGTATTGGAACATGGGACTGAAGATAGGTAGCTATTTGGATTGATGACATGGCCTTTGTGGAGGCAAGGCCTGTCCATTCATGGAGGGAATGAAAAATTTAGAGAGAACAAAAGAGTGAGGCAGGCACAAGAAAGTCAGCCAGTGACCCACTGGGCTGCTCCTTTGGAGAGAGGAAAGCATAGGAGACAAAGTTGATCTGTTTAGGGAATCCAGGAGGGAAATCCAAGGGCAGCGGGATGCCCCATGTGATTTTTTGGGCCTGGGGTCAAGGGAAAGCTTAATCACAAGGAAGGCAATTGGAAGGGGGCAAAGGTGACCACTCCTAGGAACCTTCCTTTTCCTCTTCCTTTTTATTCTGTCCCCTACAAGCAGAGCTCTTGCATAGGGCAGCCGCAGGTCTCCATTGAGAACATATTTGCTCTACTCTATAAGGAATCTGTGTTGAGCATAGGTGGAGGCAAGAATGGCTACTATTAACTGTCTTGTACTAAATGGGGATATTTTTAATTTATAAAAAATAGATTTGTATGTTTTAAATAAATTGTATGCAAGTTTAATAAAATAACAGTTAAAACCTAAAGGAAAAAAATTGATGAAAGAATCATTTATTCCCAACATTCCATCAGGCCAGCAGCAAAATACAAGTTTTGTGGTATCCTTGGTTTGTGTTTTTCCACGTTTTCAAATATTGATGCTTCCAAATGGAAGGTTATGGTAGCGTCTAATGTAAAATTCGCTTTAAGAATAAGAAGCTATCATTTTCATTTGGGCAATTGCAATTTCATTGCAATTCAGCAGACATGTATTAAGCACCTATGGTATGCAAGGAAGTCTGCTTTGTGGAGAGACAAAACAAAGCAGTCCCTACCTGCAAGGGTCTTGCAGTCCACTCAGGTGAGAGCCCCAAACAGAGTTTGCGGAAAATGTCTCCCAATCCCTTGAAAAGTGAGCATCTCAAAGGGAGAGGGGCATTGTGCTCTCAGGACAATCTTGAGATACGCAGGATGTTTGGGTGACATTGGTATTCATGGGTGTAAACTATTTGGATATACATTTTGACTGCAGCATGGGAAAAAAAAGTCAATTCTGCAATGAAGTCACTTCACGGTAAACCTAGGCTGAATATAAGCTTTTCAGATAAACCGCACTTGTCCCTTATTGCCAGGATGTGGGGGCTTTAGCCACTCGATTGCTATAGTATAGTTAGAATATCCATATGTTACAGTTTGATACTATTCCTCCATTTGCCCCGTTAAGAGAAGTCTCCAATAGAATCTCTTTCTTTAGCCTTTTGATCCTCTTTCTGGAGTAGTTTGGCATGGACTTGGATGGATGCACTTGCCTGGGTCTTGTCTGTCAGGGATTTTCTCCAGAAGTGTACTGTAGTGTGAGAATGGGCATCTCCTTTGGGTCTTGACTGAAGCAGGGAGGAGTTCTGAACCATTGGGGGAGGGGTCCTGGACCCCATCGGTGGCAGTCTGGTGAAGCCCATGGAGCCCTTTTCTCAATAATGTTTTAAAGTGCACAAATCAAACCTGCAGAACAAGCAAGGAAATCAATTACAGTGAAACACAACTCTCAGAACGAGCAACAGCAAGGTCACACCAAGCCCTGGTCTGAAGGGATTAGGACCATCCTGAATGGGACACGCGCGTGCGTGTGCGCGCACACACACACACACACACGCGCACACACACACACGCACACGCACACACATGCGCGCACACACACATCATTTCCCTTGTTTATTGACAGACTAAATGTCATTTTTAACAGCAAAGAGAGTGTGTGAAACATGGAAAAAGACCACAGAATTTAAAAATCTTCATTGTAACTAACAACTCCACTTCTTCCATAACAAACCTCGTGCTGTAGCTGGTCACATCAACCAAATAAACCTGCTTGAGTTTCAGCCCTTTGGCTGGTTGGCAAGCAACGAAATGGCGAAACGGCCAGCAAGAGAGGGAGGAGGGAGAAATCAGAGGCAAGGAGGAGGCTGGACTGAGTACAAACTAGGGAGTCCCTGGAGATTTTACAAATCAGACTGTCCTTAAGTCTAAAGAGTCATCATACCTTGTGTTCCAGATGGACAAATGTTTATGGCAGGTACATTTTTTTCTTTAAGGATTTTATGTAACTGGTCTAATAGAAGTGGGGTGTTGAGTGCTTACAGGGAAGAAGGAAAGAGTCTATGACAAGCATATTCATTGACCGTCCACTGCTTTATTTCATTCTTAAGAAGACAACCTGACAAAATGAATTTCCTTCTCCTTTTTTCCATGATAAGTTTGTTATAGATAGATTTCTTATGTGGAAAATCGGCCATAAGATTTAATAGTAAAGAGAGTAAGATTTTATAGTAAAAAGGTAGCAAAAGAGAAGGGGAAAATTGAAAAGAATCCTTCACTCTCTGTGGATTATTCATCCCTTCTCTCCCTTACCTCTTCATTTGGCTCCCCTTGGACTGGAGGGAGATAGTATGTCAGGTGGTACTGAACTGGCCCACTGTGGGGGAGTCCTCTTCCCCTTCAAATGTAGACTGAGGAAGTTGGACAAGGGCCCCCCAGCTCTGGGTTGAGGAGCCCATGAGCGGAGTCGTTGAAATCTGCCATGTTTTAAAGACAAATGAAAACTAATGAGCCTGGAGCAGAGAAGAGGGTGCAGCCATGGCCATGGCCACTGTGAGCCTGTTTTGTTACTAGCTTGCAGGAAGGCATAGGTAGCCTTCCAAATTTGTAGATGATGTAGAGCTAAGAGGGAGATCTAATGGATCTGGATGACAGGGTGGAGATCGAGAAAGACTGGTACATAGTAGGTGCTTAATTTAACATGTTTGTTGTCTGACTGCCTGGTACAGGCAGGAAGTGCCACGCAGGGTTCTATGTGTTATATGTTCTCTCACATGTCACAGCATCACACACGGCCATGTTAGTACAATATCATTCACTCTGAGTGAAGATGCTGTGAGCTATGCTTGGCCTCATCTCTCATACTATCCTTGTGGACAGGATGGGGGAGATAGGGGCCAGACCACAGAGATGGTAAAGTGGGGATTGCTTTCTGAGGGATGTTTGGTCTCTGAAGGCCCTTCCATTTTGGCTGGAAGTAAGGCTAGGGCTCCTCACAACCAGAGCTGCCCCACAGTGGCACAGGCCTGAAGGGTGGAGGACTTTGAGCGGAGGCTGGACACCGTTCATCAGGGCTATTATTGTCCAGGGGATAATGAGTTGGGCTAGAGGAGACTCCTTCCCATGCTGAGATTCTGTGATTCTTAAATCAATATGAAATAGGTATTCAGTCATCCAAACTACAAGAGCTCATTAAGCACCTACTGCATGCCAGGTGCTAATAACAGCCCCTGCCTTCCAGGACTGTACAGTTTTGGAGGGATAGAGAATGTTCATAGGCTGGGAAAGAAAGGTACATGCAGAATAAATACATGGTGATGGGGGCAGGGGCAGGAAGCCCTTTGGGGGGAGGTGGCTCTGGAACCTTAGAAGAGAGGTAGAAGTGAGGAGGGAAAACATGCCAGGCCTGGGCAAGAGCTTTGCAAAGGCATGGACGGGGAAGGGGGCCAGTGCTATGTGAAGACGAGCAGGTGAGTGCTGCTACCTGATGGGGAGCCTGGAAAGAGAAGCTGAAGCCACACTGTGGGCAGGGGGCTTATGACTTATCCAAAGTCGGGGGGGGGAGCCCTGGAGGCTCCAGAAGAGCAGGGATGTGCTTTAGGAACATCTGTTTGGCAGCTAGCTCGGTGGAGACTGCATTGAAGAGGCAGCCCAGTTAGGAGGCTCTCACCCTAACTGGCCTGGACCAGGGGACAGGTGAAGGGAATTGAGTATCTCATGAAGCAGTAATTTGTAACTGATTAGGTAGGAGGAAGTGAGTGAGAGAGCGGGAGGTAAGATCTCTGCACGGCTGGGAACCAGGGGGCTACGTCCTAGCATGGTACTTTGTACAGAGCACTATACAGCCATCACCTCACTGAATCCTCATAACCCTTGGACATAATGCAATGTGGGTTTTAAGTTTACAGTTTGAGAAACTGATGTTACAAAGGGAATTGTGGTCGAACTGGGGACAAGAGCCCAAGTCCAATGTGCTTCCCATTAAATCATGCCCTCAGAACAGGAAGTGACCCTGTCATGAAAGTTATGGGTCTCCTGGGTCCTCTCTGTCTTCATCCTGTGCTCCTGGGGATTCTATGGGTCCCTAAAGCCTTCCTTGGGTCAGAGGTGATACAGAGTGTGTGTGTGTGTGTGTGTGTGTGTGTGTGTGTGTGAGAGAGAGAGAGAGAGAGAGAGAGAGAGAGAGAGAGAGAGAGAGAGAGAGAGAAGAAAAAAGATGAGGAAAAAAGGGAAGGGAGGGATGGGGGTATCCCTGCAGTGCGGCTGCACAAAACCACTTACTGGGTAAGGAAAGAATTCTCCTTCGTGCCCGTTCTGAAACGTTGTGGTTGTGGGGCCACAGGGTCTCTGGGCTTCCAAGCCCAGTAGCAGGACAAGTGCCTTTGGGGGAGTGTGCTAAAGAGCCAGCTATGGTGCTCTCATCTGTCTGAGAGGGGCATTCAGGAAGGTCCTTGGGCCTCTCACCTGCCCCAGGGGAATCCTCTCTCTGACCCACACAGAATCACAGGGCAGAATGGCTGTTCTTAGGTTGGCATTCTGCTAATATATGTATCATTTGGCATGTAGAAAGCTAAATTAAGTATGATAGAAATGCTGTCACTCATTTCTTTCATAACTCTCTCCTCTGTGATTGACATAGAGGAAAGTTTAGTGACATAATTGACCTACCTCTTCATGGACTCATAGCAGATGAATTAGCTTTCAGCTCAGAAGATGGCGAGGTGAGAATCATGATGGGAAGGGGGCTGGCAGGTTACCTGTTAGATGGCCCTTTTCCCTAGTGGGCCCATGCTTGTAGCCACTGAAGGGACTCCCCCCCAGTGGGTGGTGTAATAGCCTGGGACATTTGGGAAGGACATTGACTGGTGAATAGAGTGAGCACAGGGAGATGGTGGTTCTATTGGAAAGGAAGCAAGTGTTATCTCAACAGGAAAAAAATACGTGAGAGGGATTTATGTGTATCCTTCCGTCAATAGGCAGCTGTAGATGAGAGATCGGGCCTTGGCATCAGCCTGGACCCTCCCCCGGGCTCCTGTCCCAGCCACACCCGTGCTGGCTGTGAGGTGCTAGCCGAGGTGCTAGCCAAGGTGCTTCTCTAGGCCCCAGCCAGCTCCCAAAGCCGAGGCCCACCTGCACTGGTAGTTTCGTTGCAGGGTGTTCCCTAAGCTGATGAAATCCCAAGTCAGGCCCTCCCTGGCGTCCCTGGCAGTGTGGTCGCTGCATCCCTGGCAGGGCTCCGTGCTGACGGATGCCCGGCCATACCTTAGCTCGGGTGGTGGAGGCGGCGGCGGCCCGCGGCTCTTGCCGATAGCCCTCTGGCGCGGTCTGGGTGTTCCTGGGTCAGAACGCCCTCCCAGCTCCCGGAGGCGCCTCGCTCGTGCCGGCGCGCCCGTCTTCACCTCCGCTCTCTTTTCAGGTACTGCGACTGCTTTGCCAACGGCGACTTTTGCAACAACTGCAACTGCAACAACTGTTATAACAATTTGCGCCACGAGATGGAGCGGTTTAAAGCCATTAAGGTAAAGAGCCCCGGGCGCGCGAGCCGGAGGCGATGCGCTCGGCTCCGAGGCGCGGCCGCGGCAGGGCCAGACGGGCGCCCCCGGCTGCCCTCCTCACTCCCCAAGGGAGGGGGAGGCGGGGGGGGGGGCGGAGCTGTCCCGCAGCGGGGACTGTGCCCCTGCCCTAACGGTCAGAGGCGCAAGAGAGCGTTTCCATGAGGTGTGGCCACTCCTGCAGGCTCCAAAACGGTATCGAAGGAGAAGGGAGGAAGAGGTCAGGTTGGGCTTAGAGCCAACTACAGGCCCTAGTGGATGGAGAGCTAGATTAGAGAATCAGTAAGACCTGGGTTCAAATCCTGCATCGGACATTAAGGAGCTTTGTGACCCTGGGTGAGTCATTTAACTCTGAGCCTCAGTTTCCTCATCTGTAAAATGAGTACCTACTTCCTAGGTTGTTGTGAGGATCAAATCAGATGATACAGAGCTTTGCACACCTTACAAGCCTTATGTAGATGCTATTAGAGTTGTTGGGTGGCCCCGTGGATAGAGTGCAGGGCCTGGAGTCCGGAAGACTCATCTTCCTGAGTTCAAATCTGACCTCAGACACTTCCTATCTATGTGACCCCGGGCAAGTCACTTCACCCTGTTTGCCTCAGTTTCCTCATCTGTAAAATGAGCTGGAGAAGGAAATGGCAAACCCCTCCAATACCTCTGCCGAGAAAACACCAAATGGCATCATGAAGAGTGGAGCATGATTGAAAACGACTGAACAAAGATGCTATTATCATCATCATCATTATTCTCCAGAGGGTGTTTATGTAAGTGATGTTCATCTGTGGAATTCGGGGCCTCCTCCTAACCTTGGGTCCTTGGTCTCCCGCATCCATACACGCTTTGGTTGCACTTAGCTCTTATTTTTGTTGTTGTTGTTTGTTTTCTGGCTAGGTGATGGGGTTAAGAGACTTGCCCAGGGTCACATAGCCAAGGAGGAAGGAAGAAGGGTCATAGCCCTGGAAAGCCAATGGCAACGTCACTGTTGGCAAAGCACTTAACTCCCCATAGCCCTGTGCTGTAGGAGGGCAGTTAGGAGGAGTCCTGGGTTTGCTGAGACTCAAAGAGGAAAGTGACTTGCCCCCACAGCTGTTTGATGGTAGAGCAGATCAGGAGCCTATTATGTTTCCACCTAGCTTCTGAAAATAAAGTTCTCAGTATGTGAAAAAGAAAATGACACGTGTTAACATGGTTGTTAGAGTCATTTCAGCTAACTGAATTGTCCATTCAGAACGCAGACGGAACAGTCCTTAATGTGACTGAAAATCCCATCCAAATTCTGCTGTGGCTGGATAACCAGAGAGAGACAGATAACAGATTTCCCCATCGTAGTGTATACTTCAACCATCACGGCAATTTCATAAAGGAAAAAGCACTCTCTAAATTTAACAGTACAAAAATCACTTTTTATAAATGTAGCTGCAAAGGAAACTGTTGAAATAAAGGTAAATTTTAAAAACTGAATAAAAAGATACGGTAATGTGCTGTTATAGTTACCAGGGTTATATGCTGACTGTTTGCTAAAGATGTATTGCAGATATGGAAACATGGGGACATATGCATTAGTGTGTGTGTGTGTGTGTGTGTGTGTGTGTATATGTATATATGTATGTATGTATGTATGTATGTATGTATGTATGTATGTATAGAGAGAGAGAGAGTCCTGAAATGCATTATTTAGTAATACGCACCAAAACTTTGGCGGAATTTCTCATCTGCCTTTTCCTTCTCTTTCAGGCCTGTCTTGATAGAAATCCAGAAGCCTTCCAACCCAAGATTGGGAAAGGAAAACTAGGGGATATTAAGCCTCGCCATAACAAAGGGTGTAATTGCAAGAGGTCAGGCTGTCTTAAGAATTACTGTGAGTGCTATGAGGTGAGTCATTAGCATCTCCTGCCTTTTCCAAAAATCTTCACTTTTTCTGACTCAAGTAACTCGGTTCACAAAAATGTTTGCCCTATTTTAAAAAAGAAAACTAATTTTTTTACTACAGTTTATAAAAAACTACCAGCTTATATTTGATTCTCAAAAGTAATTTGAATTTTTGGAAGCCAGTCCACAAGTACTTACTGTTACATCTACTCCTGAGTAAGGTACCTCCTAGGTGCTGAAGATGCAGAGAAAGGCAACAGGAAGACGCCAGACCCTCAAAGGCTTATGTGTCTGATGATAGCTAACACGTACGCAGCATGCTAAGGTTTTCAGTGTTGAGTCATTTGAGCCTCACGACAGTCAGGTGAGGGAGGTGCTATTAGTGTAGGAAATGGAAGCTAAGAGAGGGCGAATGACCGGCCCAGGGTCACACAACTAGTAAGTGTCTGAGGTAAGATTTGAACTCAGGTGTTCCTGATCCCAGGTCCCCTGCTCTGTCCACCACACTGCCTGGCTGCTTTCAGTAGTCTGTCTCTCACTCACTAGACAGCCCACGTTGCCTTCTGAAGGATGCCCAGAGACAGCAATGCAAAGACTGAGGATCCCGAGGGACCACTGGGTACCTCCAGAAGTGTAAGACTGATCTACAAGTGGGGCCCCGCCCCCAACTGCAGCCGCCACTTCTGGGCCTAGTGTTCAGTTCTGTGTGCCACGAGTACACCGCCAGTCTTGGTGGAGCCCTCTCTGTCTGTGGGAGGCTGCAGGGATCTGGATTTGCTGGTTTCTTGTGGATTTCAAGGTCCTGAGTTACTTTGAGGAGTCCCAAGAGATCCTGGTTCCTTCAGAAACCAAAGCGTGGCCCCTGTGGATTCCCCAGACCTTCTCTAGGGCCATTGTACAATGAAAGAAGACCTCTGCAGTGAAAGTATGTTAACAGATATTATTATGTTAATGTTAATCAACATTAATATGTAAAAAGAGATTTCCTTGATCTGCTCTCATTCAAATATCCGTGCCTTGAGGTGATCCCCAAACTCTCCTCAGGACCTGCTTCAGTGCCCCCTGGCATGACATGATGCTTTGGTTGCACTTAGCTCTTATTTTTGTTGTTGTTTTTGTTTGTTTGTCTTTTGGCTAGGCAATGGGGTTAAGTGACTTGCCCAGGGTCACATAGCTGGTAAGTGTTAAGTGTCTGAGGCTGGATTTGAACTCAGATCCTGCAGGGCTGGTGCTCTATCCACTGCACCACCTAGCTGCCCCCCACATAGCTCTTACTTAACATATTGTCACCCCCTTGGAAGATTACAGGTATGTGGTACCACCATGCCTCCCTCCTCCAAGATGAGAAGGTGCCAGGTGGTTTCTTCATAGGCGGGTGAGGACTAAGCTGTGGGGTGTGGGCTTTACCAGCAGAAGAGTAGAGCAGGGGATCCCCAGTCTTCTAGTTTCTTCCCTCTTCCTCCTCTCTGTCTTCTATCATCTGCCATGTCGGACATGGAAATATGGAGGAAGAGGAAACCTCTCCAATGAGGAACCTTCACCTAAAGAAGACGTCTTTCTCTATGTGAGGTCTTCTGCAGGAAGGGGAGACCTGTGAATATTGTGCAGAGGCTATTCCAGCCTTCCTAACAAATCTGGACCCCAGGGTGGTGAGATTATCTGTTGGGGACCTGAGCTGCAGAAGAAAGTCCAAGGACGCACCAGCCTTTGAGAGGCTAGGGATGAAGGGCGCCGCTCTGGCAAACACATCCTGGCAATGCTGGCTCTTGTTCTTGGGGTCCCCGATGCTGGCCATTAAGCACGTGTCTGTCACTGTGCTGAATTCTGATCCAAAGTTTTAAAGTGATCATGAATAGGAAAGCCTTCTGTTTTTATGTCCAGGACAATCATCGTCATCATTATCCATGCCTAATTAATCTCTACTTTTCTCTTATAAAGGTAAAATAAATTTCATTTATAACTATTTATAAATAAATTTATGTATAAAGTGGAATTTGGCTCTGGGATTGTGGCCCAATTATTGGAGTCTCATGAAAAATGACATTCGCCATATCTCCTTGGTTCATAGACAGAGAACAGAGTAGGAACCTTGGACAGTTCTGCCAAGTGCCCATTTTACAGGGGCCATTGCACCTCCCTCGTGTTCTGGGATTCCTAGAAGGGGGGGGCAAACAACCCCTTCTCTCGCTTTGCTCAGGGCTTGGCTAATTTGCTGATGCAAACACATACATAAAAACACCAAAATGTGCAAATGCACGTGCACGCCCAGTCACCCACGGTCACTTAACTGTCAGGAGCTGTATCTTGATCCCGTTAATTTAGGGCTCTGGAGAATAAAAAGGAGCATCTCACAAAAAGGAGAACACGATTCTACTCTGCTGCTGCTCCCTCCCCTTTTTGCCTCTCTCTGGTCCACTCCTCATCTTCTGCCTTTTTTAATGTGGAAACTGGCAGGTTTTCTATGGAACTGCAAGAAATTTCTCTTCATTGATCACTTCTCTCCTTGCACACTTCCCCCAACCAATTAAGATTCAAAGAGGGGTTGGTCAGTTTTAAATAAGGTTTGTTGACATTTGGGGGGAGCAGGGGAGGGGCTCTTTCTACACTTTTAAGGCACTTACTAAGTGTTTTCTCAATTGAATTTTTTTAATCAAAGCATTTATGTTTCCAGGCCAAAATTATGTGTTCTTCCATTTGCAAATGTATTGGTTGCAAAAATTATGAAGAGAGCCCTGAACGAAAAACCCTCCTGAACATGCCCAACTTTGTGGAGATTGGGGGGTCTGAAGGCAGCCATATTTTTTCGCCATCCACGTTAGCAGTGTTGCCGAAGTTGAGGAAGGACAGGTAGGTGGCTTTACATTGTAGGAGAATTGTAAGGAGAAAACAAAAATAAAACTTGGAGGGAAGGCAAGAAGAAATCTGGACCAGGCGACATGTGTTTACGCATGTTATGCATGATGGTGGCCAAAAGCAGAGCTCAGGGCAACTATTTGTTTGGAGACAATGAGGGTGAAAGTGACTTGCCCAGGGTCACAGCCAGGAAATGTCTGAGGCTGGATTTGAACTCGGGTCCTCCTGACTCCAGAGCTGGTGCTCTATCCACTGAGCCATCAGGCTGCCCCTCGTGGCATCTGTTTTGACTGAGGTTCTAGTGGATTGTAAATTTAACAGTAGAACACGGCAACCCCGCAGAAACAATTTGGTCTTGGGCCACACACTGTTCAAGGTCCTCCGCCTGCTCAGACCATTTCTGGAGTGCTTTAGTTCTGGGGCCACAAAGGACGTTTGAGGAAAACAGCTCAAAGGACGCAGCCGGGTCGAGGGAAGGGCCGGGAGGGGTGTCAGAGGAGATCAGCTGGGGGCACTGGGAGGGTTTGGCTGAGAAGGCTCCCAGGGACTGGAAAGCTGCCCCTCAGGTGTTTGAGAGGCCACGGTGTCCATCCATAGCGGAACAGGAGCCTCCTCGGCCACCACCCTCCCAGCCCTGCCCGAAGGCCTGGAGGGGGACAGCGGCACTCCACTTGGGCTTAGCGCTCATGGAAAGGAAGTTTATTTCAGGCCCAAATGTGCCTTTCTCCTTCCCAGCTATGTCCTCTGGGTGCAGGCCGATCGCGTCTAATTTCTGTTCCCTGTGGCAGCCTCTGATGAACCGCCCCAAGCCTTCTTTTCTACTGCAGAAGTGTTCCCAGATCCCTTAGCTGATCGTTCCCTAGAACGCCCTCTCTTGTCCCCACCACTCGGGTTGCCCTCTGCTGAATGCCCTCCTGCTCGGCCCCGTCCTTTTAAGAATGTGGTGCCCAGAACATGGCAGAACTTTTGTCTTGGCAGATTCAGCTCAATGCAACGGGTATTTCTTGAGCACCTACTGTGTGCCAGGCACCCTGCGCCATGCGGACACAAACACGAAGCAGTCCCTGTCCTCAGGGAGCTGATATTCTGCCGACTTAGAGGTGACAGAGGTTCTAGTGAGGAAGAACTGCAAGGTCTTCTCTGCGCAATGTTACCCAAACCCAGCTGTAAAACACACCTTCACACGCCCCAGTCTCTGTCTGATAAATTGGGTTCACATTATTATGCTTTACTTGAGGGCAGCTCCCCCCTCCCTTAACCACATTTTACAGATTTTTGTTTCATTTGTCTGTTTCTCCAAGTTAATACGATGTTTGGCCGATCACCAGAGTCTGCCACTTTAACTTCCTCAGAAAACTTTCATGCAGTTTTTTTGCTTCATCTGTTGCTGGGTACAGGAGGTATTTTATAACCATCCTTAGCTCAGGAACAAACCCATGGCTGAATAGAAATAATAATGATATCATTATTATAGCTATCTTATAGGTGATATATTATATATAATAGCTGTATTATATAATAATAGCCTTTAGAAAACTAATAGCTAACATTCATATAGCACCTACTATGTGCCAGGCACCGTGCTAAGCATTTTACAACAAGTAACTCATGTGAACCTCACAACAACCCTGTGAGGTAGGTGCTGTTATTATCCCCATGTTACAGATGAGATAACTGAGGCAGGTAAAGGGTCAGTGACTTGCCCAGGTCCCACATGTAGTAAGTATCTGAGGCTGGATTTGAACTCAAGTCTTCTTGAGTCCAGGCTCAGCTTTTTATCCACTGGGGCACCTAACCTAGTCTCACTGTACAAGTCTGTGTGTGGAAGCAAGAGTAGTCATGAGGAGACTCCCTTGATGGAGCCCTCCTCCATCTCCCTGGCCCCCACCCTAACCAAAATGTAGAGGGCTTTGGTGGGCTCTCTGGGCCTCATCAGCTCCTCCATTTTGTGATTCAGAATGTCCTTGGGGCCTGACAGGAGGCATGCTTGGCACAAGGACGTCTCAGCTCATTAGCTAGTTACTACCCATTCCAAGCCCTCTCTGTGGTGTGGGGGTGGGTGACCCTGGGCTTCAAGTAAGTGAGGAAGATGCCCATCTCATGCCAACTGGAAAGGGTGGGTCTGTTGTCTGGGGACAGCTGAGCTCAGTGGTGGGCTACCTGCACCTCAGGGAGACTGCCTTGTAGAATGGGGTGGGGCAGGTATGGTGGCACACTAACAGCAGCAGAATTGCTGATGTTTTATCTTAGTGAGGTTTTTAGCTCTGGCATAGACATACTAGAGACCTCAGGTCAAAGGTGACTACTCAGGCTGTACCAACCTTTCTTTGTAATAGGTCTTTATTAAACAGTAGAGATGCATTTGGCCCCAGGAAATTTTGATGTCTCTGGCTGTCTAGGGGCAAAGTGTTTTGCTTGATAATTATGCCAAGGATGCTTAGAACCTGCCAGGGTCAGGGTCAGGAAGCCCATAGATTTGTCCTCGGTAGTGAGATTCTTTATAGGGTCTCACCAGTCAGTAGGGTGCTGGCTCAGGAGACCCACGTGGCTCACTTGACACATGGCAGTTGGTTGGACTCATGAATCCAAACTTGAAGGGCACCAGCCCTTGACACGTGGCTCTTGCAACCTATTTGTTTCCAACAGGCCACCTTACACGTGCATCTCCTGGGAAGTGGTGGAAGCGACTTGTGCCTGCCTGCTGGCCCAAGGGGAAGAGGCCGAGAAGGAGCATTACTCAGCGTGTGTGGCCGAGCAGATGATCCTGGAGGAGTTTGGGAGGTGTTTATCCCAGATTCTTCATACCGAATTCAAATCCAAAGGGTTGAAAGTCGAGTAGACTGGGGCATCCTATCATGCGGAGGTCTCTGCCATGACAATGTTCAGAGTGGAATCTGTGTCTTAGTATTTGTAGGAAATGTGCTGGCAAGGTCTGGTTCAGATCTGCATCCATGACTGTAGGAAACTGTTTACTGAGTCTCTGGAGGACAGAGCAGCAGCTAAACGTCTCTTCAACAAATGTCTCCATAATGCCGTTATGTGGGGGAGGGGGGTGGGGATTCCTGTAACCTATGATGGCCCTTTGGATTGGGAAATCACCCATGAGAAGCCTGGCAAGTAGAGGGATGGCCTTGAGTGGGGGGGGAGACCAAAACCAAGGTTGGCTCCAGTTCTCCCAATCTCACCCTCTCCAGAGAATCCCCTACAGACAGATGCTGCCCTGCCTTGACAACCTTAGGCAACGGTCTTCTCTTTGAAAGTTCTTTGGAAGTGCATTTCTCACCTGGGCAGTTATGCTACTGCTACCATTGCTGAAGGATTGTCAGACTTGAATCCCCTGAGAATGTTGAGAGTGTAGGTGGTCCCCTGGAGTCACCTAATTAGCTGATTCATTCTAAGAGTTTAAAAACCAAACCAAACCCAGTGTAAGTAGCAGCATCGGTAGGCTGTGGCCCTTGGGGGGTTTCTCTTGAACTGTGGAGAGGACCCCTATTCCAATGAACCCCTGCATTGTTAGTGCTGCGCGTTACTGTTATTACTATTGTTTATAAAACCTACCTTAAAAAGGTGGCCCCACACTGACATGCAGACAGGTTTGATTAGCACCCACAAGTGTTGGAAAGGTCTCAAACATCCCCACCTTGCATCAGAATCACTCCCCTCTGTCAGATAGCGGTGCTTAGTGACAGCAGCTGCTCCTAGAACAGTTTGTTTGCCCAATAAAGTGACGGACTTTTAGGGAGAGCCTGGTTAAATGAGTGATGTTCAAAATACTCTATTCGTGTGGATACAGAAGCAGATGAATTGGTCATTACAGGAAGGGCTGGCTCTTTGTTCCACAGCATGTCTTAACCCTCCATCAGGGAGAAGAGCAAAGCTTAGTCTCTGTGGAGAGATTCCTTAAGGGGAGACAGGGAACACTTAGTCCTCTCCCTGCTCCAATCCCCACATAGTGTTTGGGGGACTGGAGCCTTCAGGAGAAGGCCAGGAGGCAGGGGAGGGGAGGAGGAGGGGTCCAAATGAGCAGGACCTCCACACCTGAGCCCTTCTGGGCTCCCTATGGACCCTGACGAGGGGGGAGGCGCCCAGGCACATCCTCTGCATTTACTGCCTGAAGAAAAGGGCCACCTTGAAAGAGCAGTGTAGGGCCACGTGTGGCAAGATGGCAGGGGAAGAGGAGGACACAGCTCTCTGAAGGAAGCCTTGAGCCCGACAAAAGTCCACTGCAACCTTGGCTGCAGAGTCCTTTAAAGTCCAAAGCCAGGGAGGAAGGGGAGGCCAGGCCAGACCAGGGCAGGTCAGGTTCTAAGGATTTCTCCAGACATGTGCCCTCCACAGGGTTTCCTTAAAGCACACTTAGGGACTTCATCCCCTGCACACAGCAGAGCGCTGGTTGTGATGCCAGCAGTAGCCAGGAGTCCCTCAGTCAAAGCTGGAAAATCTGAGAATGCCTAAATGCCAGCTGTCTTCCTCTACCTCAGAGAGGGCACCCTCCTGCCAGACCTCTCCAGAAAGAGAGAACCTGGTTGAATCAATACAGGGAAAGAGCCAGTAATGTACCACCTTATTTTAAAATTAAAATCTCTTTAAGTACAAATGTATATGTAACACTACAGTAATGACTGCAATTAATGTCTAGGATGACCACAAACTATACAATTATACTTCTTTTTATTTTCAATGGGGAAAACTGATAGTTGTTATTTAAAACTACAAATATCCTGCCCTTACCTCATGCTATGGTCAAGCGTCTTTCTCACTAGCTATCAGAAAGCATGGATGATATAAACCCAGGACCTGGGATCGTGAAGAAGCCAGGACCCCCCACTTCAGAAGCAGCACAGTCCAGCCAGTCTTTTCAGAACTGGGCAGGGCTTTTAGAAAGCACCGAGATGAACACTGAAAAGCTTCGCCTCCATCCCTCCCTCTTTGGGCAAACATCTCACTCGTTACTGGAAGCCTGGAGCGAAAGGCAGCAGGTGACTGGGACTGGCCGACTTTGGTGGTTCTGCCCTGCTCAGCCTTGGCACCATTTGCCCTTTCGTTCTCCTGTGAAAGGGGCTGCCATGAGCATGGGTGATGGATGCAAGTATAGCTGGCATGAGGTTTGGAGTCCAGGGCCATCTCTCCCCATGTACATTCTTGCTTGCTTATCTCTGCATCTAGTTTTACTTAACCAGGTAACCCCCGATATCTTAGTCCTAAAGGAGAAAGAGCTGAGGAGGGTCCAAAACCACCAGCACAGCCTGCTCCCCAGGAAGGTTCCCTGCTGACTCTTTGGAGGCGCACTCCTTCTCCTTTCTTGAGGTAGGGTTGGGTCCATGCAAAGCCCAAAGTGCAAACCTTGCTGCCTTTCCTTGTATTTCCCTACAAAGGAAATAATGAGGCTTAATGCACTTCAATTTCTGGCCTGCCCATTGGCCACTGGGCCTGTGTACAAAGAGTGGAGCAAGGGCAGATGGGAGCGGTGAGGATGGGCAGAGCAGCTCTGCTGTGCTCTGGGGACCCCGGGCTAGCATGTCTGCATGGATGTGTCTCATTGACATTTTCCCCTTTGATGAACCATAGCAGAGGGTGAGAGCTGGCCAAGTCATCCCCAGGCTCATGGTCTGGGGAGAAGGGGGCTTTTTTTTTTCTCTTTGGGACAGAGGCCAGTGTGGTTTGCCTTCATGTAAAAGAGAAATTGAGGCAGTTGTCTGAATTGAGAAAATTGTCCATCCTCCTGGTCACAGCTGTACTGGCCACTGGTATCCTTCTAACCTCAAGAGCCCTTTCTTCTTAGTATTGGTTTAACCATTTAGCTGCCATTATTTACTAACTCGGTAGAAGTGTGAATTCACTGATAGCTAATTGAAATGTTTTTTTCTTTAATTCTTGTTATTCTTGGATACATTTATCATTTTTAATAAGCAAAATTGTTATCTGGGCCAACCCTTAATATGATAAAGTAAAACAAGACAGTTTTCTTTCATAGTTAGTGCATCAGTTGCTAGTATAAATTACCTAGGATTGAATGCTCAAGTGCTCTTGATTTGGGCAATATTTAACACCTAGTAGGTCTATAATATATACTTTAGACTTAACTATGACTCAAATTATTTATTGCTAGAGATATTGGTATTTTAATTTAGAAAATAAATGCTTATTTTGTAATTTTAAGTACTGTGTTTTTATTATCACATATTAAATATTTTAATTCTCTTATTAAACATTTCTACTAGGCTGTGGGGTTAATTAGCTTGATGTCTGGCAAGTTCTTATTTAGGTTTGTGTGGAATCAAAAGCCCTTGGGAGTAGGCATCTCATCAGACCCATCCACTGGACCCCAACAAGCCCTGTCAGTGATTGAAAGCTTTCTTGTCTTCTAACTTCTAACCTGTTGGACAGCTGTTGGGTCTTGCCAAGGTCCTCTTCCTTTTCTTCCCTTTGTTATCTGAAGAACACTTTGTAAACTATTTGATGTCACGTTTCCAAGACTGAAATCCTTCGTGTATTTGCAGTTGTTCCCAAAAGCACAGAAAGGCACCAAACACAGCAATTAAAAAACCCCCAAAACAAACAACACACACCTAACTCTGAGATAAGAGGAGCTTGCGTCACACGCCCCGTGTCCCATCAGAAACATTTATATTGGACATACGTAGAGATCTGATTTTATTATTCTCTCAAAGATGTTTTACTCTAGTCATTTAGATATTTATTTGCAGCCTTAGGAGGATGAGATTCTGCTAAGGGTCTGATCCTTTGCAGAAGCACGCAGGTAACAGGAGGGTCACAAATGAATTTACCTAAGAGATGCTTATTTTATTCCAGTTGTAACCAAAGGCAGTGATGGGGTATATTCCAGACTGTGTCTAATGAGTTGGCTCTAGTAAAACGTGTTCAGTTACTAACCACTAACCACGTTCAAATGAACTAGACGTTCCACCCGTATGGACTGCTGCCCTCAAATCCTTTTCACACTTTTGTGTAATTTCTACGGCACACTCTATATACAAGTGTTAATTTGGCATTAAATAATAACCCTGAGTAAAGTTAGATGTCTCTTTAAGACATCTAGACCATAAGTCACTCCCACTTAAGATAATTAATTGTGCTGAAATTCTCTTATTTAACATGGAACCAAAAACGTTTATGATATTAGCTCACTAAATAATTGAGCTATACTTTGGGCTCACAAATCCCTACATCATTGGCTAATTATTCCCACACCACTGTGAGATATTAAAGGACCTTATCTTATGCAGGAAAATAGGCAGATGACAAGGCCAAATAATCATCTACTTAGCTGTTTAGGATATAGGAAGGACTGTAAATCTAGGCTGAAGAGCTCAGATCTTACAACCTGCATCTTATTATAGTAGTTCAGATATGGTCCAGTATTGGCCTATTAAAGATTCAATATTGTGTCTGTCTCTTCTACTGATCACCTGCCCTGATTATAGAAATTTGCCGTGAAAGAAAAATAGGGACACAGCTATGGTAAGGGGAAAAACTCAATGTCATTTTCAGACTAGAATCATATGGACAGCCAATTCTATTGAGAAAATGTCATAGCCAGGCCTAGAGTCAGCCAGGTAGGAATCTTCCCATTCAAGAGGAAGTGTCATACTGGGGAAATTGAGTCAGGAGAATCTTACCTCAGCCCAGTCCAAAAACCTTTCCCCATGAGACAGAACTCTACCTGTCATTCATACATACCACTGGTGTTATGGATCATTGGCTCAGTAGCATTTCTTGATGATCATAACTGGAATCAATAGCATTTCTTTTTTTTTTCTTTTTGGTGAGGCAATCAGGTTAAATGACTTGCCCAGGGTCACACAGCTAGTAAGTGTCAAATGTCTGAGGCTGGATTTAAACTCAGGTCCTGCTGACTCCAAGGCTGGAGCTCTATCCACTGTGCCATCTAGCTGCCCACAATAGCATTTCTTGATGATCACACCTGGAATGAGAATCAGAATAATATTCATCACAGTCCCATAAGATTTTATCTTGGATAGCAAATTTCACTAATCATGCTTAGGAATAGATATAAACTATTCTCATGTTGTTACAGTGAATTTGCTAGCAAATAACATATATCAGGCCTTCTAAAAAAATCACAAGAGATTTTATTCAACATTCCTTTCTACTAGGATTTCTCCTCACACTTTAGAATTCATCCTGATGTTAAAAGGCAGTCATCAGAATCTAATAAACAACCTTGTGCAAGTTCACAAAGATAGTAAATATATGATAGCTGTAAACCTTCAGATGAACAGATGTCTGTCTCTTATTCAACCCTTAAAACAAAAACAAATCCTCAAGACTGAAGTTTGTTAAGACTAAGTTGGTTAGGGGCAGCTAGGTGGTGAAGTGAATAGAGCACTGACCCTGGAGTCAGGAAGACCTAAGTTCAAATCTGGCCTCAGACACTTGACACTTACTAGCTGTGTGACCCTGGGCAAGTCACTTAACCCCACTGCCTAGCAAAAACAAAACAAAAGACTAAGTTGGTTAACATGAAAGTTCAGTATAGAGCACTCCAGCTATAACTTCATAATTCTCAATAAACAGTCCCATACTATAAAGAAATTCCTAATTACCAGCACCCCGTCCATCAAGAAGTGTTGGCAGTGGGGGAGGGGATTCAGCTTTCTAAGTGGGTAGCCAAAAAAATTGACTACAGGAAGACAGGAAGTTTCCCATTTCTTAAATGACAGTAGTTCAGAATATTAAGAGTTTTCAAACATTTTCTTTTCCTTTAACAGCTCAGCTCGTAATCTAGCAACAGACAGATTAGAAAAGATGCTGCATTTCTAATACAATATCTGCACAAGATCAGAAATAACAACATGGTTTCAAAATCTAAAACAAGAGCCCGTTTCCAGTTGGGTGACCCCAGTTGAGTTGAATGCATCTCCAAATGACCTTACGCAGAAAATAATTCTGAAAAACTTCAAGTGGAACTTAGATAAGCTGATCTCTGAACTTTCTCATTCTAGCTAGCTGTGAGTAACTCTTTTCACCCCTGTAGCTCTCAGGTTGAAGCATTAGAGAATTTGTTTCATATCACCAGCAGAACCATGTCCATCATCTTCATTAGGTTAAGGGCTGACAGGCGGGACCCTTTTTCCCCAGGGTTGAGAGTCTCCTTACAAACCACCCTGAAAAGATGGGGAAGCACCGCTACCAGTTGCTTATGTTACTTCACTTCTAGCTCACTGAGAAGTTAGGCAGTGTGGTATAATGAGTAGGGACTGAATCTTTTCCTTTTGTAATTTCTAGTTTTCAACTAAAGTTAAATTTCAAGCTTAATTACTTCAAACTGTCAAGTTTCTACATTTCTAAAGAGTTTTTTAAAACATGTATATCAGTCTTTTAATGATTAAATCTGTATCCAAAAGAATCAAAGAGTTCAAATTTCTAATACAATGAATTTCACATTTCTATTAGGTACTATTCTAATACAGTTAACAAATTGATAAGCTTAGGTAGTTTTGATTAAGACCACCCCACTAACAAATTGCCTGATCCATACATTTCCCTACTAAATACTAAAATAAAGTTGTAATTGTCCCACTTAACATGAAACCAGAATTAATTCAATTACATCTGGATCCAAATTCCCAAAGGGGATAATAAAAGGAAGATTTCTGTAAAACCCTCAAATTTCTGTCAGTGATTCAAGATTGGGAAGTAGTTGTCACTTAGCTCATCCTAAAAGACACACAGTGACAAGCTAGCTCCCTATAATTTTTTCCCTATTTACCTTTGAACTGCTCAAAAGAGCCTGACCAAATTCTTGTCCCCACCTTCTTGCTTGGCAGCCTCCTGTTTCCATCCCCTGCTTTGGAGCTAGCTAAGAATAACCACATAAAGTTTCCCATATCCTTTTTTTCTTTCTACTAAATCAACCTTCACTTGCTCAAATCCTACATTCTTCATATTCCAACTATAGGCCAGATGATATTCATTACACTGAATGTTTCCTTTATAGTATTAGCACATATTATTGTTAAACAAATCCAATGACTTACCGAAACCCTACTTTCCCAAGCTGTATAGTTAATTTCAACTCAGGTGACTTAATTTTTTTTTTTTTACTGATTTACCTACAACAATTAAGCTCGGTTGCTTGATTAGTTGCAATTCAGACGTGGTCTAGGAGATGAAAGCACCAAAACAGAACAAAACACAACCCCTTATTTTGCATTTTTAAATACATTGTCGGGATGGCAGATACTGAGCAAGCAATTGCAGGGAACAGAGTAGCATCAGAGAATGGTATCCTCTAAGTCTTCCCAGAAGGTCTTTTTTTTCCTTTTAAAAAAAATATTTATTTATTTATTTTTCATTTTCAACATTCACTTCCACAAGATTTTGAGTTCTAAATTTTCTCCCCATCTCTGCCCTCCACCCTCCCCAATACAGCTTACAACCTGATATAGGCTCTGCATATACATTCCTATTAAATTTATTTTCACACTAGTGATGTTGTAAAGAAGAATTAGAACCAATTGCCCAGGGGATCTCATCCCCAATAACTCACACCTTGATGTTAGAAGAAAGGAATGTTCTTTTAAAAAAACACAAACTCATGGAAGCCATGCTTAGGGAATCATTTAGGAAAATGCTGAGACTATCCTTAAGCCCCCAACAACATCTGAAATTTAGAGGCTTCAGTATCTACCAAATGTGTCCCCAACCTTAACGTTAACATGGGGTTCACAATTTTGGTGAGAGGAGTACAAATAGCTGAGGATAGGACCCCAGGTGTGGGGGGAACCAAAAAATCCTTCCTCAAAAGCAGTAAAGTTCTCGCCTCTCCAATGTGCTTCCTTCCATGAGCTCCCCCTGCTAATGAACCAGGTGGCCAAGAAGCCAGGCAGTGCTCCAGATTCAAACTGGACATAATCCATAAACTTTAGCATGGGGACCTAATTCTACCTAGATTTACAAACTCTTAGTGTTCAAGGTCATTTTCCCATTAAAGTTTTTGTCTTAAGAGTAGGTAGAAAATTTACGGTCTAGCTTCAGCTTTTCTGAGTTAAAACAAAATTTCTTTCATACTCAGCTTCAGTTAGTTAGCATTTATTAAATTTCTGTTAGATGTCTTATTGATAAAAAGAAAAAAGTAGTTACTCATCTTCTAAAATTGGTGGGAAAAAAAGGTGAAGGGAATACCTGGAAAAAAGTTGGAACGAGGATCTTGGGGACTGAGGCGAAAAGAAAATCTGTCTTTGAAATCGACAGCCTTTATCCCTTCCCCTTTATGTATTACTGCTCCTTAGGAAACCCACTGCTGCTATTTCCACTCTTCTTTGAGGTGGGAGACTTTTACTTTCTACAATTGTGGGCAATACGGCCTTTTTTCCATAGTAAAATGTGGAATTTGAGATGTAGACCTTGCTGGCCACATTACTTGTGTCAAGTCTCCTGAGACAGCAGGAAATCGGGTTCCAGCAACATGGGCTGAGATTTCCTAGACTGAAATGAAAGCCTGATCCAATTCCTGTCCCACTTTCCCCTTCTCCTCTCTTTCCTTTTCCTCATCAAAAGTGTGTGAAGCAACATCTCTGGTGTGCTCCATAGACACGTTATATCAACTAGAGTATCAGTTACAGAAATGTTGTTGCATTTCTGTAAGGGATATACAAAGTGGGTGCAGAGAATATAAGCCTCTCTTAGACGAACGACAGTTGAGCGCTTCTGCATAGCCTGATGTCAAAATGATCCCGATCCTTACCCTCTTCTTGCATTGTAGTAGTAGTAGCAGCAGGAGCAGTGACGGAAGTAAAGCAACCTAAAAGTGCTATCTAGTAGTAAGTGCCAGCAGCAGCAGTAGCAGCAATAGAAGTAATGTAACCTAAAAGTGCTACCTAGTAATAAGTCCTAGCAGTAGCAGCAGCAGTAACAGTAGTAGCAGTAGTAGTAACGTAACCTAAAAGTGCCATCTCGTAATAAGTGCTAGCAGCAGCAGTCTTGTTGGGTTCTAAGAGCCACAGGTTAGCAAGGACAATGATCAGCCAGAAGGCAGCCAGAGTGGTGAGGGCCTGGAATTCCTCCTGTATGAGGACTGGCCAAAGGAACAGGGGATGTTTAGCTTGAAAAAAGACTAAAGGTGGGAGAGGGGAAGAGATGGAGGAAGGTCACCATTCTTGAGCATTTGAAGTGCTAGCTAGCTTGTTAGACGTGTTCTCTTTGGTGCCAGAAGGCAGAAGTCAGAGCAATGGGTGGGAAGGGGTGGGTGGGATTGGGGGAGGGGAGAATTGCAAAGAGGACTATTGAGACTGGAGGTCAGAAAAATGTCCTGCCCTGGAGGGTGGTCCCAGAGTGCACCAGGCCGGAGAGAGATGGGGAATTCCACCTTCTTGGGGATCATCAGGCAGAGACTCGATGAGTTCTAGTCAGGCATGGTCTAGTGGGGATTCTTTGGCAGAAGGGTTGGTCTGGATGTTTCTGAGGACCTGCCCAGTTCTGAGATTCTCCATGGTCCTGGCTCAGTAGCCAGTAGACTGTTTGGTGCCCTACCCTTTCTGCAGGATCTCAGAGTCAGGATCATCTTTGCTGCCCTTTTATGGGACCTCGGCCTCAAAAGCCTCTTTTCTTGTGAAGAATGACCTCTCTTTCTTTATACAACACCCTGACAGCAACAAACTTGATCTTAAGTTCAATCTGTTAAACACTCAGAGTCAGCTTTTGATTTTCCCAGTTACGGAACCGTCCCATGAAAACCTAAAGAGCAATTACTCTGAAGATCACTTCTATTTGTCTTTGGTCTATGTTCTGAACTTCTTTTATTTACAGAAGTGAATTGATTAATATTAACCTGATCAGCATAATTAGAATAAAGTGAAGCGGCATTCCTGTGTGCTGTATCTTTCTGTGACAGAACAAAGTATCCCTGGCCTACCTGGAGCAGCAAGGAAGTATATTGGATACAGAAGCAGGAGGCATCTATATTTTAAAACAAGATTATAGAGGAATGAGACAATCAAAATCAATTGCTATTTTTTATTTTATCACATAAAGTAAAATATTTTTGAAAGCAAAATGTTGGATTCTAGCATCACATTAGTAAGGGCAGAAGAGACAGGAAGAGTTTACTACTTGTTAAGTTTGTAGATTACTGCACCGTGCCATACTTTGAACTCCATTCTGTCAAAGCCCTCTGTAAAGTTTGACCTTAAAGCACACAATCCCAGACAAAACACCCAAACACATTCTCTCAGGACTGATTTGTTTCTTCTGATGAGATTGCAGATGGCAGATTATCAAGGGCCCCAGCTTCTGTAAGAGTCCAAAGAAAGCATTGTTTCAGTGACACTAAAGGATACAGAGGTCAGAGTGGGTTAGTCCTGGGGCATTTGGCCTCCTTTATGAATTCTTTTGTCCTAAGAAAGTCACAGCAAATCATTCATTGTCTTCTCTAGGCATGGACTTAAATGCAAATAACACAGGGTCTGAAATCTTAGCATTTCTTAACTGTCCTGCATTATTAACCTTCCAAGTCACTAATTTCAGACCACACTTAACACATTTATTTCTAAATTGTTCTAAAGACAGAAAAGTATGATTTCTACAGAATGTTCTCTAATATTTCGCTACTCAGCCCAGCGGACAGATCCTTGCTACAAAGCCTCCTGGACACTGTGGACAAAAATCAGAGGGGGTGAAAAACTAGTGGTGGGCTACAATACATACTAATGGGGGGAATTCTGGCATAGATGAGACCATATATCTTTTGACTTCTGCAGTGTCCCCTCCATTCAGAACCTCCACCTGCTGCTGGCTGTTTTTCCCATCCTAGGGAGGAGTCACCAGCCCTTTCCCTCTTAAAGCTTTTTCCAAAGGTCTTGCCATGATTTGAATCAGGTAAAAGGAACTTCAGCACCCAGATTCCCAGATTTCTGATGAACCTCTATTTTCTCCCAATTCCTTTGCTTTCACTTTACCAAGATACTTATGATGAATAAAACAGCAGGGGAGTTGCAGCATTTCAGTGTTTGTCCCTGCCTGTTCTCAGAAGCAGCTGCTTATCTGCAAACAAATATTTAAACTAGGGGAGCTTAAGAAGGCTTTTTAATCCAAGAATTAGCCTTTAAAAGTAATGAATGAGCACAAGTATAATTTCTTGATTTTCATGGTCCAATAAATAGCATTTTGATGTGCTCACAGCCCATAAAGGAGATAAATGCCCATGCAGAGCCCATTAATTTTCTTGTAATTAATGGATATGTAATTTCTAGTTATATACATGTGCATAATACGTATTTGCATGCACATACAAAGTTTGAAGTATGACAACAGAGCAATGAATCCAAGCTGGTGGGGCAGTGGGTTCCCACAATTCATCAGAATCAATAAGGTTTTACTTTGTAATTAAATTTTCTCCTTCAATCAGATGCTGTACATGAGTCATCACTTGGACAAACTTGTGGGAAGTCTTAGGCAAATAAGTGATAATATGATATGGGGTACTGGCACTCTAGGGGTTAATAAGAGTGAGTGCCTGCAGAGGACTCAGCTAAAAGTAACCAAAAGGAAAGTCTGGGCTAAACTACAGGAGATATAAAAAAAATGCTCAGCAGACTTTCCATCCTTTTCCTATCCAACATTCCTGTGCAAGCCCTCAGAAGCTGTCTCCTGAGGAAGGGTAGCTTCCCATGGGAAGAAAGACAGGTCTGGAATCTCAGACTCTCCTTGAATCTCTGATATTGAATGACTGGTCAATATTTATTGATTGATTTTTAAAAGAGGATATAGCAGTCTCATGGTTCTAACTGCTATTGAGGTTTTTTAAAAAATTGTCAAATTTCAACATCTATGTACAACCTGGGTGTGAGAAAACTATAGCATTCGTTGCTTTCTCAGCAACTCTCCAGAGTGGGCCAGCATTCTGAGAGTTGAGCAATGTAAAACACAATAGAAAATGCTTTTACATACCTTTGTGATGCAAGTATGTCAGAAACTCAAGTACTGTACGCACAATGTTGTCATCAGCCATGGGTCTTGCAAAGTTTCCTAGAAAGCACAAGTAGTGAATGTATACAACATAGCATATTGTAGTGCAAGCAGACTTCAGAGGATTGTAGATTTCAAGCTGGAAGGGACTTCAGAGATCATTTCGTCCCACTTCCAGATAAGGAAACTGAGGCCCAGAGAGACTTAATGACTTGCCCAAAGACATAGCAGTATGAATTGGCATAGCTGGTATCCGAACCCAGGGCCTCTGATTTCCATCCCAGCACACATATCCCTATAGGAAATGGGTTTAATTAAGAAAGATGCATATTTCAGCTCAGTAGAAGGAAAACTTCCTAACAGTGAGGGCTGCCCATTGACAGACGGTAGGTTCTCCCCCCGAGAGGTCTTCAGGTAGAGACTGGCTGACTGGTCCCTTGTCAGGGACGGTCACAGAGCAGATTCTTGTCCAGGTACAGAGTGAACCAGCTGACCTCTGAGGCCCCTCCCATCCCTGAGACCAGCTGGTTCTCTGCTTCTCCCCTCACATTATTCATCAATATTTTCATGGGTCAGGTGAAACATTCATTCTCTTTTACAGAAAACAAAATTAATACTAGAGTTTTAATGTTTGGCATTTTATTTTCTGATAGTATACTACTCTCCTTGTGGTCTGTAAGAGTTCTGGAGCTTCCTAAAAGTATGAAACTTAATTCACTTTGGAAAACGTAGTTCACCTAGACCAATTCTCCACCTAGATATGAAAACAGCTCGTTAGCCTAAGAACATGTAAAGAGATCCTAAGTACTATCCTAGAACACAGTTAGGGAAGTGGAGAAAGAGACCTGGGCTTGTTTGTTGTTAGTGAAGGAAGGGGAGAGCATGTGTTGAATTATTCCTAATCACAACATAGAGATTATACGGTTCTCAACGAGGCTGTGTCAAAGCATGACCAGTATGTAGGAAGAGTAAGTTGACCAAGGTAGCTATACAGTAACGCTCCCAAAAGTCCAACTGGATGTTTAGGCAGAGAATCAATACACTCCATGAAGGATGGAGGGCATCTCTTCACACGGTAGCCTATTTGTTTATGGTGCCAGCTATCTCAGGGGTCAGGAATTTTCTCTACCAGTTGAGAATGGTCCTGGCCAGAAGGGGGAGTTCACGGGATGCGATAGAGATGAGTGCTGGACAGTTCTCTCTTTGGTTCCCAGGTACCCAAGTTGTAGAGTTGTAAAAGTCCTTCTGGACAAGCAGAGGATTAAAATGAGACAATTGTTTTTTTAGCTCTCATTTCATCCAGTCAAGAAGGAGTTGCCACTGAATGCCTAAGGCACTGGGCTTGTCTTTAGGGGAGATGAATAAGATGCAAAAGACATAGTCTCTGCTCCTAAGGAGCATATGATCTTGTTGGGGGGGAAATCAATTATGTGACAAAGAACTACTGGAAAAATCATGACAAGTAACAGAAGAGTCAAGAAGTGCTCAGGCCGAAAGGAAGGGATTTCTTTCAGCTGAGTTATTTATGAGGATTTCAGTGGGCGGAGAGGGAAAGAGGACACTGCATGAGCAAAGGCATGGAGAAAGGAAATTCAAAGGAAGTATGAAGAATGTCGGGGAATCCAGTTTTGCTGGAGCTAGAATTCCTACAAGGAAATAGTAGGAGAGGAGCTGGGAGCCTAGGTGAGGTTAGATTGTGAAGGACTTTGAATAGCAGGCTTATGTATTTGAATTTCATTCTCCAGGCAGTAGGAAACCACAGGAGAACAACATGACCAGGACAGGGCCTTATAAAGATTAACCTGGACATGATTTGAAGGATAAGTTGGCTGGAGGTAAGGAGACCCAGTGAGAAAGCTCTTGAGATTAGCCTCAGTAGGAGGTGATATGAACATGAACTGGAGAGGTAGGGGAGGAATGGCCAGGAGGGAGTGGGAGGGGCACTAGAAAGGAAGGGAGGATTCTGGGGACTCAGCGGACATGTGGATGGGCTAAGGAGAGAGAAGAGTCTGATTGGTCTGGGGGATTCCTTGAGTCATGGAGGTCACAAGGACCATATTGGCCACCTCTCTGGCTCTGGGGCATTTCAAAGCTAGTTCAGTGGCTGCCTGGGAATGTTTCCCACCTTGCTGGTCACTGTAAAATCAAGTCTGGGCTAACTCCGATCCTCCACTTTAAATGTGTCGCGTGGAGAACTCCCTTCAACAAGACTCTTAGTTTTTGCCATGGAGGTCAGGATCAGCAGAGATTTTCTGAAGATGCTTTTAAAACACTTTCCTAAAACAATTCCTTTTAAATTTGGACTTCAAAATAACCCCCTGATTCTGGTACTGACTATCTTAATAGGTCTATTCCTAGTTTCCTCTTCTATAAAATGGAGGAAAAGAATATGACATTTGGTAGTAGATGTGAAAGGTTCCCATTGGTGTGTGTGTAAATGGAGCTAGCAGAGAGAGAGACCTCTTAGAAGCCAAAGCACCAGACCCCTCCCTGTTCCGGGCCCTGCCCCTTCCAGGAGCACTGAAAATGAGTTACAGGCAGAAATGAATTAAGGAAAATGTCTGTGACAGATAAGAAAGCAAGACAGTGCCCACGTCCTTACCTGGCTTCATGCTGTCTTCAGCCTGTAGCTCCCGTTTGCCAGCGAGGCCATGCTTGTCATTAAATGATCTGTGGTTATCAACCGCATCTATTGAGTCAAGCAAAGAGGGAAAGAGTTTGGGGCCTCTTCCTCGAGCAGGGCCAGTGGGGTTGTATTGAATTCCTGGGCCGGGGGAAAGGGTTCAAGAGCTGCTGTCAGCATTTCAAAGAAACAAGGACCAAAAACATCAAGCTAAGAACCATTGACTGAGACTCCATGTGGTGGAGATTCCTTCCCAGCCTTCCCAGCCTTCCCAGTCTTCCCTGCCTTCCCAGCCTTCCCAGTCTTCCCAGCCTTCCCAGTCTTCCCTGCCTTCCCAGCCTTCCCAGCCTTCCCAGTCTTCCCAGTCACCCCAGTCTTCCCTGCCTTCCCAGCCTTCCCAGCCTTCCCAGTCACCCCAGCCTTCCCTGCCTTCCCTGCCTAACAAGAGGGCTAAAGGCAACTCACAGTCTGAACAGTGTGGTCACTGAGAGGGGGCGGGCAGCAAGTTTTTAGCTGGCCCTGGTGGTGATCTCTGCACACAGACAATAGGCAGAAAGTGTCTTTATTTAGGATTTGAGATGGCTAGAAGCTAGCTACTCCCAATAGGCTGCCCTCAGGGGACCTCCAGTTGCTCCAAAGCAGAATCATGCTGAGATCCTGGTTCTGGTCTAAGGGATTTCCTGAATGGATTTCTCGGGGACCATTGAAACACCACCACTTTTTAAAAATCAAGTTACATGAAGTTATTGCTGGGGAGGATGGATTGTTTTTGCTGCTTTTCTTGTTGTTTGGGTATTCCTGGGAATTCTTCCCCCATCCCTTTATAGTGGCAAAGCTCAAGAGCAGTCCCCCTGGAGCTATAGAGGAGAGAAAAATGTCCAGTAGGACAGAGGAGCGGCTTCTCTCACATCTCTGTAAGCAAGTTCCCTTGAGGACATCCTTTCTGGCTTTATTTCCCTGGCCTCTGGTACTCATTCATTTATTTATTCAACAAGCATGCTTGTTACAGCTTAGGCATAGCCCTCCTTTTGTCTTTATAAAAAGGAAGCAATCTCTAGCTGTAGGGAAATAGCATATGCAGAGAGAAGCAAACACAGAATGCATACAACATGCCTACAAAGATGGGCAGGAATGAGCAACTGTTGGCGGGCCATCAAGAAAAGCCCCCCTGTAGAAGGTGCCCCCCCAGCTAAGTCTTGTTACAAGACTCAAAGGTGAGAAGGAAGGGCATTCCAGGAAGGGGCTGGGGAAGTGTAGCCAGAGCCAAGGCTCATCAGGCTGAAATCTGAGCAGGACTCTAATAGATCTGCATATGCATTTCCTTCTCTCTGACCGCCTTTGTAGACCGTTAGCTCCCTGAGGCTTGAGCCTGGCTGTTAACATAACAAGGCAGTGATACCTCTGAGGGGATTCTGATGGTGATGAAGCTCTTTGCAGGTTGGGTTCCTGGAAGGTGGGGGGTCATGGAAGCTACAAGGAGCACAAAAACTAGAGCATTTAACAGCTGCTCACTGGTTGTCTGGGAATGTTTTCAATGCCATGAGAAATCCACCATGCCTGCCACTTAAAAAATAAGAAGTCTTGTCTAACTCCTGTCATCTATTTCAAATGGGATGCGTGGAAAATGCCCTTCAAAAACACTCTTCTCTTTTGTAGGGTTCCAGTTTGGGGATTTGTTTGCTTAATGATATATTTCAGAAACCATATAAAGGAACAGTAGCTATAGTACAGTCAAAAAGCCTGGAGGACTGAGAGTCAGACTTGGCTTTTTGTCCCCAGCATTGACACTAATTAGCGTTAAGATTCTGAGCTTAAGTCTGGGTGCCTCTGTTTCCTCATCTGTAAAAGACCTGGGTTAGACCAGATGAACTATAAGAACCCTTCCAAAACTGAAGTTCTGCTATTCCTCGTGTCAAATGCAACTCGATGTGCAGAAAGGCAGCACCTGAGGATCGCAGACTGCAGCTACCTGGTCCCCGAAGCTTCATGCCTCTCTCCATGGTATTTGGATTGGCTGAAAGAAGCCACTCTCCCCAAATGGGGCATTTGACCCAGGAGAGCCACTGAGGAGAAGTCAGAAGGGCCACCTTCCTGGGCCAGGTTGCCCGCGGGGACACTTCTATAACAGCCTTGCCTCCCAGTCCACAGGGCTACTCTAACAAAGGGCACTCACGGTATGCCCTGCCCCCCTCCTGAGGGCCCTGAAAGAGCATTTCCAGTCTGCATTCAGATTGGACTTACATAACTAGAGAGGTATTTGCTAATCTCCCCGAAAGAATGGTGAGTTACCAGGGGAGCAAGGACTTGGCTTTATGAGTAAAAGTGAGAAAGCCCAGGCCAGTGCCTCAATAATGCATAGAGAGGCAGCTATGTGGTGCAGTGGATAGAGCACTGGCCCTGGATTCAGGAGGATCTGAGTTCAAATCCAGCCTCAGACATAACATGTACTAGCTGTGTGACCCTGGGCAAGTCACTTGCTTGCTTTGCCAAAAGTTAAAAATCAAAAAAGCAATGCATATAGCACTGGGCTCTCCCCTCTCCCTCACCTCCAGCTTAGCTAAGTGCTTTCTTGGGATCTATTGATTAAAACTTCAAGGTAATTCACAGGTGAGTAATTCTCCACCACCACCTCACCCTGCTCATCTGAATCAACCTAATTTTATCCACATTCCCCCAGATTCATTCAGAGGTTTGGTGTTCTGTAGACAAAGTCTTCATCTATCCCAGAAAGAACCTTTTTGTTCAGACTCACACCTTCCTCTGTCCTAGTCTGCACATTTTAATTCAGTCCAACAGTGAATAACTGACTACATACACAACCCTTTATAAAGGGGAGGATTTAGAAACATGGCATTTTCAAGTTGGAAGCTTGATCCAACTCTTCAATTTATAGATAAAGAAACTGAGGCCTAAAGAAGGAAAGAGATTTGCCTCAGAAGATTCAGCTAGTTAAGATGAACTTGAAAGAAAGAGCCAACATTTGTCTTATTCACTGTGGAGGAGAAAATAAACATCTCTTTCACTTACGTGGACCCAGGAGGTAACCAGCACTGTTCAAAGTCCAGCCTCTTTTTTCCTTGGCCTTAACCAAAAGAAGAAAGAACAGTTAGGTAACTGGATTTTTTTTTTACCTGCTATAAGTCCTAGCTTAAGAAAAAAAGTTCCAGTTATGAAACTTCTTTTGATAAGATAACTTCTAATTTGGTGTGAGCTGAAACTTAACTCTATTTCAAGTAACCTTGGATTTAATGAATGAATAAGCATAGCCCAGGTATCTTTTACAATGTAGAACAAAGCCCAGTATCTTTCAGGATACCAGAGAAAGTTTATAAATGAATGTGTGGAATGAGCCAAGGGGAGTCAGATTCTCCTGGGGTCATCTGCAAAATGGGGTGGTTTAAGTAATATTGGAAACTGCATTAACTCATTGAGACTAAGGTACCCTGGGTCTCAATTTCCTCACCTGTAAAGCTAAGAGGTTAGACTTGCTGATCTCCTTTCCTAGAATCTTATCTCTGATACAGCATCATTTACAGGTGATTCAGTTGTGCCTCACTTTAAATCTAATATACAAAAATTCAGGTTCTGTTGGGAGTACTGACAGTGACTGGCATGCCAATTATTGTATACATTCAATTAACATAAAGAGTATTCATTTTGCGAAAGGGTTGTCTTCAGGGTTCCTATAATAAATAAACCTCTTTTAGTGAATTTTCAGTGATTCCATTTGTCAATATTTTATTTACATACAACTTTGCGAGTATCCTCCAGTGGGCTGCAGACAGCAAGTGTTTTCAATGCTGATCTCTGAAACCTCCTCTAGCTTAAAGCCATTAGGGTTATTAGGTTTGGGGTTAGAACTGATCGTACAGGTTGAGGTCTACCTGAAATGCATTAAGCGTTTGTCCAGCTGGCTGATTTAATGCATTTTCCAGCATGGTGGAATTGAGCCCAAGGAGCTGTGGATACTTTGGGACAATCAGAGTCAACCATGGCTTTGGTTCCCTCCCTTGCCCCAAAGCCCAGACCCTCCCTCCTTGGCCTTTGGCCCCCTCTTCCAAGTCTTCCCTTCCAGCTCCTTCCTGGGGTCTTCCCCTTTAGATGGCATTGCCCGGGGCAGTACAGGGCACCTGGGGATTTGTAAGCCTTCCTTTCCTATGATTAAGGGAGATACAGAGACTTATTTCCCAAGCTCAAAGCTGAGAACTTTTTCTGTGCACTGCGAGCTACACAGGAGGTAGTGTTTCCACTATTCCCTTAGATAACAGTGGGAGTTTGCTCCCATCCCTCTCCCCACCGTAACGAGCAGCTGGGCTTCAGAGGCACTTACGGATAACATGAGTCCCAGGGTCTCTGACAGGGTGGCACAGAGGATGAGGGAGGCAAAGAGGAGGCTTCGGGTGTACCTCTGCATATCTGGAAAGTGAAGACAGGGCAGTGGTGGGAGGTAGGGACAGGTAGAGGGGCTGGCTGCCTCAGGATCCACCCCCCAAGGTGGGGAAGAAAGAAAGCAGTAAGGGGGCCGTCGGACCTTAGAGCTAGGGCAGGAAGGGACCTTGGAGGGCATCGACTTCAACTCATTTTGCAGCCAAGGAGCGTGAGGCTAGAACATGAATTCTATGGGATGGCATTTGTGCCTTTCTCTGCACAATACACAGTGCCTGGCACCTGCTGAGACAAAGGAAGGCTTCCAAACACTCCCCCACCGCAGCCCCAGTGACCCTGGCCTCCAGGCTGTCTTTCACCCAAGACCCACCATTTCCTGCTCATGCACCTTCTCTGGCCGCCCCTAGGCCTCCAAGTCTCCAAGTCTTCTCTCTGCCTCCTGGCTTCCTGGGCTTCCCTGAAGTGTCCACCAATATCTCACCTTCTACAGGAAGCTTTTCTTGACCCCCCTTAATGCAAGTGCCTGCCCTTGTTTGGCTTCTCTAATTAGTCTGTCTCTGTCTTCTTTGTGCATGGCTGTTGGCTTGTTGTCTCGCCCACTAGACAGACTGTGAGCTTCTTCCGAGCGGGGACAGCCTTTTACCTCTCTTTGGATCCCCAGTGCTTATCATAGCCCCACGCACACACAGTACTTACTAAATGTTTGTTGACAGACAAGTGCAGGGTCTTACCCAAGGTTATGCAGGAGGAATAGGATTGGTGAGTTCACTGATAGTGTTGGACAGCAATTTCAAAGCCTTCGAATCTACCCCAAACCCAAGATCAGGAAACAGAAAAACCACTGACAGCAGCCACTGAGGGGCAGCTGCAGCCTGCTTGCCTGACTCCATGCAGGGGCTGCTGCCAAACTCTCCGTTCCATGGACACAGGGGCTACAGACACTTGTTCCAGGATCTTTTACCAGCGAGACATAGAGAAAGCGCGCCTTCCCCAGCTCTAGCTCAGGGGCTCTTAACCTTTCTGTCTGTGTCTTGGACCCTTTGGACGTAAGTCTGGCGAAGCCTGTGGACTTCTCAGAATAGTGTTTTTAAATTATTGAAGGAAATAGCTAAGTATCTATTGGAGAGGAGTGAAGATAAAGCTATAATTTTTTTTTTCACTCGCCAAGTTCCTGGACCCCCTGACATCTGTCCATATCTTAACATCACGTTAAGGACCCGTGCTCTAGACTCCCAGGAGGCTGTGTGCTCCTCTGAGCCCTAGGGCAGCTTGTGCCAAAGATACAACTGAGCCGGGACGCCCCCTAGACGCAACCTTCAAGGGGGGAATCTCCGCAGGACGGCATGCCTAGGAGGCTCCCGGCGCTCGGAAGGAGGAGACGCTCTGAGCTCTCCAGCAATCCGCGCAGGACGCCAGCCCAGAGGCGAAGTTTAGAAGAAAGGCGGGGTGCGAAGACTGTTACCGGGAACCCTAGTCACGGGCTCCGCTTGGTCCCCCAGCCCTCCCCCCGGTCCAAGCCGGACGCTGCCCCTACCTTGAGCTCGGAGTGCTGGTGCACTAGCTTGGAGATGAGAGGACGGGAGAGGCTGGCGGACTGTGGACTGCGGGCTTGGGTCGGGCGGACCCTCACTGCATGCTTCGGGGGCCGGCTGGAGAGAGAACGCTGGCTGACAGACGGGCGGGCAGGGGCGGTGGCCGGCTGGAGCGGCTAAGGACAGGTGGCTGTCGGTCTCGCCTCTGTCCTCCCTCCCCACTGAGTTCTGGCTACTTATGGGGCGGCGCGCTCCAGGTCGGGGAGCCGAGAAGTGGCTACGTCACCAGCCCGCCCGCCCCGAAGGGGATAATTGCCCCTCAGGCGGGCCAGCTGCATTAGGGCCACAAATTACTGTCATCCAATTAGAGGCTTTTGGAAAAAGCTCCCGAGCCGAGCTGCCAGCCAGGGGAGGTGGCGGGGGTGGGGAGGATGGAGGAGGGAGCCTCGGAGATAAGAGCCTGCTGCGGAGCAATTATCCCATAGTACCTGCCGTCGCCCCCGCCGCCTGGGAGGCGGCTGGCGGATACGAGAGACGAGAGAGGCAGCTCTGCACCCCACCCCAATCCAGAACCCCGAGCAGGAAGCATTAGATGTTCCCGCCTCTCACCCCTCAGGCAGCCCAGCCCGTCCAGTCGGGGGCCTCGACCACCCCAGAGCTCGTGTCTCTGGTGAACCAGCATCCTATTTGGGGCCGGGAAGCAAGCAGTGGGCTGGCAGCTGGCCAAGGAGACTGGCTTTTAGAGGCTGGGAGAAGGCCCGAGGGGGGCAGATGGGAGCCAGACCCCTCCTGCTTTCCCCAGCTGCGCCCCGGCAGTGGCAAGATGGCCTCCCTTCCTTGGCGTTCTTCCCCCAGGGGATGACCCGAGAGCCCTCTCTAGTCACTCCTCAACTCGGAGCCTCAGTTACGTCCTCCGCAAAATGGAGCGGTTGGACTAGCTGATATCGGAGGTCCCTTCCAGCCACAGGACTGGGATCTCTCGTCTTAAGCGTCAAAGCTAAGGCAGAGGTCAGACTTCCCTCAGGATATCTCATCTTCCTCCCCACCTAGGCTGTAAGGAGTCTATTTCCCTTGTCTCTGAAAGCCCCTCATTGTTAGACGTGTTCCCATTTGTTCCTCAGAACAAGCCTGAGTCCCGAGAGTGCTGGCGTTATGGTTGTCTCTGCGCAGATGGGGAAGCTGGGGCTCAGAGACAGTGAATGACTGGTCCGGGATCCCACAGTTGGTCTGGCCCAGGTCTGAGGGACTCCTCGGGGCTAGGGCTCTGCCGCCTCCTTGGTGTCTGGGATCCTGGCCTATGAGCGTCTCTCAGTATGTCCCTAAGGACTGGAAAGCTGGGCTTAGGTGGGTGCTCAGCAAGCCCAGGCTGATGGATGATGTCACCGAGGCAGGCAAAGGGGGACCACTTCCCTTCAAGGGCACAAAGAGCCTTGAGCAAGGGCAGGGAGGGGCAGAGGAGGCCCTTGCTCCAGCTCCACATGAATGATCCTGTGAGCCCTCTCTGAGCCTCAGTTTCCCTATTTGTAAAATGTGGGAGTTGGACTAGGGGGCCTGGAGGTCCCTCCCAGCTTTCAATCTCGGCCTGTAACAAATGCTCCTTCAACACTTCTGGGTTCTGTGGTTTCCCCTCCCCATGTCATCAACATCACTCCTGGTGGACAAAGAAGTCTTTGAGTGCTGGTCCGATTTGAGTTTATTCGACCCTGGCCCTTGGACAGCTTCCACACTGTCCTCCGTCTCTGGGCTTGGCTGGAAGGGGCTGCCTGAGCTCCCACTCCCCTAGCACAGCCAAGATTCAGCCTACAAGTATTGTTCGGTCATTTTCAGTTGTGCCCCACTCTCCGTGGCCTCATTTGGGGTTTTCTTGCAGAAACACTGGACTGGTTTGCCATTTCCTTCTCCAGTATATTTTATAGATGAGGAAACTGAGGCAAAAGATTTTGAACTCACGAAGATGAGTCTTCCTGACACCAGCTCTGGTGCTCTAGACATGCTGGCTAGGTGAAGTCTAGATGGAGGTAACAAATGGTCACTTACATAAAAGTCCCTCCATGACCCTGAGGCAGATGAGAGACTCATTATTTCTTTTGCCAACGCTCCTCCCCATCACAGCGCCTCATTACATATGTGGCCAGTGTTCTCCCTTCTCCTCTCTGCTTGTGTGCTCCAGGCAATTGGACCACGTTCCTCAGTCTATCTCAGAGCCAGAGGTCATCCACAGCCCCAATTTTCCTTGTCAAAAAAGCTCTTAGGTGGTTTTTAACTGAGGAAATGTTAAGCTTAAATTCTCAAATTGCCTCTGAAAACAGTCTTCAAGCCAGCTTGTTTTTCTCATCTGGTTAAGTGATCAGTCGTTAGCACCAGAGTTGGCGGCCCCCTCTTTCTGCTCCCCTTTTTCCATTAAAAGGAATTTTGGGATCATTTGTCTGAAAAAGACATTTCCATTAAGCAGATTTTGTGGTGCCCCCACGATAGCCTTGTAAGATGCTTCAACTCCATCTGGAGAGCTCCTATGACAGATAATGAGGCTCATTCTGGTTTGGGACCAGAAAGTACTTACCTTGTGAACCGGAAGCATGATGGGCCCATGATTTGGGCCCATTTACGTGGCAGCTTGAAGTTTCTCCCATGTGCTCCATGATCTCCAGCATCTTACAGAAAAGCATAGGTAGCCCAAAGTTAGCCTATTTCTGTGGCTGTGAGCCATCTAGCCCTCTCCCAAGGCTTTCACTAACTCACTCATTCATTTACTCACTCACTCATTCATTCATTCATTCATTCACTCACTCATTCATTTACTCACTCATTTATTCATTCACTCATTCATTTACTCATTCATTCATTCACTCATTCATTTACTCACTCATTCATTCACTCACTCATTCATTTACTCATTCATTCATTCACTGATTCTTCAACAAACATTTTAAAATATTTTTGTTGAAGTCTTTTGTCCCCACTTCATAGCCATTTTGCTCCTCCCTCCCTATTCCATTTCAGCTCAAACCTTCCCTTAAATAGGAATTTATTAATCATCTAACATAGCATAAAGACAATTGTATTCTTAAGGAGACGAATAATTTGGGGAAGGCTCTATGCACAAAGATATGAGAGGCTGCAATCTGAATCAGTGGAAGTAATGACCCCACCAGGAAGATCTTTCAATCTCTTTGATCAGTGCAAATATCTGTGTGAAATGCTTAGAGAAAGACAATTAAAGACACATTCCCTGCCCTCAGTTATCACTGCCCTCTGGGAAGAGAACAGACAGAAAAGAGGATGGAAGGAACCAGAGCCCGCTCCTCCACTTTGGCTGCTTTGCAGTTGGAGTGGGGGTTGGCCTTGGTTGGGGAATCAGTGTGAGAGCCTACACAATGGTGTGAGACTCTCCAAGGATGGAGTATTGTACTTAAAAAGCCAGAGATATAAAAATAGACTCCCTTGTCTTGACTGGTGAGAGGGAGCTGGAAGTGCTTGGCAGGACTAGGAATGCCAT